TTTTTCAGGCAATTCTTTCCGTGTATTTTTGAATAGCCATCGCAATGGTGTTATTTTCACACGTGAAAATAACATGTTATTTTCACGTGTGAAGATATCAATTTTTCGAAATAGAGAAAAATGGATATCTCATTGGTAATTATATAATAAATTCATTTATTTTTATCAAGAATTATGTCTTTCCTCTAAAAACGGAAAATATGTCGTTTTGAAGCACATTTGATTGGTACTACATTTCGACGAGTAAAGCTTTCTTTCGTTTGTGCTGCGACTATACAATGACCTTATTTCRCTAAACTAGAAGCTTTTTGCTTGACCGTGATGGTGATCAGTAGAGAAGTCAAAAAATAATTTAAAAATTTTTTCATAGTCTAACAAGAATGAACAAATCTATTGTAAGAAACTGAAGCTTACTTTACAAACTACCATCGTCAATTTTACACTAACTTTACGCTAATTTTTTTACCGAAATTTGTTTTCCAATAGCCCGAGACTACAATTACAAAATACTACCTACACTACTATAGTTCAGGGTCAACTAAAAAAACAAGTTTTCCAAGTACTGCACTGCTAGCTTTCTTCCAATTTTGAAGATCAAGATATTTTCAGTCTCTCAGCTCCTTGGCATTCAAAGTGTTCATAAGCTGGTTTTCTTGAGTGTTTGTACAGGTTAAATGTCCATTTAACGATCTGAACTTTGAAAACGTTTTTCAAACTCTTCAGTATTTGAATTTTCATTTCTTCTAGCAGTTAAATGCTTGTTTTCTTTGGCTTTTTTGCTAAAATTTACAAGCAATTCTCCTTTCTTTGTTGAACATTTGCGATAAACCAGTTGTATGCCAGCCTGTACAGATATGTCATTACCTGTCAAAACTGGACCAATCAGATAGCCATAGGTCGCGTTTTAAGCCAATCATCGCATAGATCAAATTTGTTTACGTGAGTTTGACGACAGACGCGCGCTCTTTTCGTAAACAAATCTTTTTTTTTTGAATTTTTACGCTATTTTTTTCGTAAAAATCTATTATGTAAAGCGAATAGATCAGGCTTAGCTATGTTCTGTTCTCTGATAAAACACTCCTGAAGCTGTAGAACACTCAAAAAGTTATAGAAATCACGAGCCGTAGGCGAGTGATTTCTATAACTTTTTGAGTGTTCTACAGCTCCAGTCGTGTTTTATCAGAGAACAGAACATAGCTAAGCCTGATCTAYTTGTAAGTCTATCTATCTATCTATCTCTATCTATCGACGTTGTCGAAAATGTGTAAGCCTGCGCTGCTCGGCGGTCTGCGGTCTGCTCGGCGGTCTGATAAGAGAAAACAACATGCCATATTGGAATCTCTCTAGAAAACAAATGCGTTTCCAGAAGAATATAATCAAGAAGTCTTGGACTTACATCAATAACAGTGAGGATAAGTTTTTTGTTTGTTATTTTGTCTGCAATTTTGAACAGTTTCTTCAGCAGTTTATCGTTCGTTCAGCTATCATTAACGAGTGTGTTGATCGTTGCCTTGTGCATGGTTTTGGTTGTACAACATTTCATAAATGTGCGACAAAGACTTTGGCAAACTCTCTACAGCATAACTGCGATATATTAAAAAAAGCTGTACAATTATCTGTATTTGTTCATCCCAATAAAAAGTCATATTCATCAAAGGAATGCAGGTCTCGTTATGCTAAGTTCATTAATCATGTTGAGCACGAGCCTCGTGTTGTTTCGCGTGATCGAGAACCAAGTAGAGTTCCAGTCTAACAGCTTACTGGTCTTTTGCACAAAAGCAGAAAAATACGCTTCTACTGTTGACAAATCCAAATTCACAAAAATGTACTTCATGTAGTTTATCCCAATTTCTGCTCCATATTCTCAAGGTAACATTGCATTATTTGGGTCAAATGCTGGTCGTTAATGTGTAGCCATGTCACTGTGTGCATTAATATATAAACATGGGAACTCAATAAGTTCTTCAGCAGATTTAGTAAGCATTACGTATACTGGGAACGAGTTATATTCTGTCCTTTCAAGATTGCACAACCTAGACTTTTTACTTTTGACAGAATTACCTCAAATGGTAAGAGTATTAGAAACTAATTACCAGATGGAATTCAGCCCAAGGTACAGTGGTAATATTCATGATATTTCATCTACTGTCTATTTCCTTTACTCTAGTGCATGCCCTTAGGTAATGCTTTGTAAATTTTAATTGGAGAAAATTACCAGTCATTCCTGTTAACTATTCAATGTAATACAATAGCTCTTTGCTGTAATGGTGATGCGAGATTTAGGATATTTTACTCTCATGCTTGTAATCCATCAGGTCTCCCCCATCCTCAAGGTACTTGTGTACTCCTCGATGTTGATGACTTTAATAAATTACTTCCAAAGTTTATATGACAATTTAACAGGTTTATTTGAACTCAGAGGAGTGTGTATTACTGAGACATGCATACAAAGCAATGCTACTGAAAATCCTTTTAATGCACAAACCCACACTGAACAGTGAAGTGACTGGCAAAGCTGCAGATGATAATCAGCAAAGAAACAACAGTAATATTACAAATTCAAATGCCAATAATTCTTACGTCATCAAGGCCATGTTGGTGCCATTTAACAAAAGATTTCTCAAAAGATTTGAAAAATTTCAAATGTTGCTTGATAAGGCTGTACGATCTATATCTTAAATATCTTTTTTTAGATAAAGCTTGCACAGCCTTATCAAGCAACGTTTGAGATTGTTTCGGTTTGCATACTCTTCTACCATTTTTATGCTTCAATTTCTTGGTGTAGCGCTTCAGTTCACTGAAAAATAATGTTCTGAATATTCTGAATTGATTTAACAGAACCTCTCTTAATATCCCGGCCATCACTGAAGAGAGTCCATTCTATTTGACATCGAAAAAAGAAGTTTTTAAAAGATGATTGTGTGTGGTCAAGAGAATATTCTCTTGGTGTGGTACAGTTCTGTTTCTGTCATGCACAATTTTTGGAAGATTTTAGATAATTACAAGTTTGATAATCTGTCCAATACTAAAATTATACATTATTCCTTCCTGGTACCAACCTCTTCCCTTAGAGCGCCGCCATCTTAAAAAAGCGAGAAGAGAAGGCCTTGCGAACTACGTTAGGTTGTCATACTGCTTGGGGTGAAATCACCGGGCTAGAATGAAGTCACTAAACCCGTGCAATAGATATTAGCCTAATACACATTAGTAGACCCTTTAAAATTCCATTGTTTTCTTTTGTGTCTATTTGACTATTACACGTTGACTAGTATTTTTATTTCACGGGTTAACTTCACTCTAGCAGTGGTCATACAAAGTTGATACCATAGGAATATAAAGAGTACAATGATTTGTGAGACAGTATTGATTTCAGTGGTTTATTTGGAACATTAACCTAAGGATAGTATATTAGCCTAAAGGGATGTTTATTATAGGAATAAAACATGATATCGAATGATCAACAATCATTTGCAGGATATACATATCAACAAGAAAAGCTAACATTTCCTTGGCGTTAAGTGCCTATCAACCCTACAGGATGCCTTAGTGATTCGAAAGCCCATGTTGCCATGGAAACACTATCAAACACACCAAACTGACTGTTTTACCCTGCATTATAGCCAACCTAAGTTTCAGCCATTTTAAGYCAGTGTGTAGAATATTTGTGTGCCAGTGAAGGCGGTTGGAATTTCAAAGCGTTTGTTTAGGACATTTTTACATGACATACAGCAGCCATATTGGTGTTTCTTTTGCAAGGTACACCAATATGGCTGCCATCTCTATTGTCAGTTTACTGCCTAGGGACTGAGTGAGAATGCTCTATTGTTAAAGTTGTGCATTCTTTACTCTGGTATTTGTTAATATTAGACACTGATACGAGGCACTGATATCAACGAACACTGCGGTAATTTGAAACTCGAATCGTTTATTCTCACAGAGATATTCTCTTTTTGATGATTTGAGTGATTTACTAGCTCTCTTTGATAACATCATTATTTGGTAATTTCTATATTGAAAGAGATATCAAAAAAAGTTAACGCCATTCTTGTTTATTTAGCAAAGGCTTTCAAATTATAAGGGCATCCTATAGGATTAATAAAGGTACTCTAAGCCCAGTTTTCAATTGCTGAATGAGAGAGACCCAGGTGGAGTGTTAACCCAAACGACAGAGACATTCAGAACTAAAAACAACATCATTGACCATATTCGATCATATGCCACGCATAAGCAAAATAAAATCTCTGTTTCGTTCGCAATTGTCATACACGGTGAAAACAGTCCCGTTGGCTTAGCTTTAACCACCGACCACATAAAAATGAATAGCAGACTTTGGGAATATATTGATGGTTTTCAACCATTCCCAAGAGAATTAAATAACAAAAGACACGGCGGCCATGTTGGAGGATATAAAATAATTCATTGACAATTCTTTTGTTAAAGTCCTCCAATATGGCTGACGTGAAACCATCAATATGTATGTATATATATTCTTTTCCGCTAAACATTCTAACATTGGCTTGCGCTCTAGTTTCAAGAGGATATCTTTCTTTTCTTCTCATGTTTTTCTTTGTATTTGATAATGTACCATTTGGGACAAGTTATCAAGCGAAGTGTAGTGGTCTAAGTGTAGTGGTATAATTCATTGATAAACGATAATAAAACGTCAACACATGTGCCRTGTTGCAAAGTTGTCATAGGTGAACCAAAGTTACAGGAAAAACAGCCTGTCTGATAATTCATGTGATGGTTCTGCATGGATGGACTGGCCAACTTGGAATGCCAACTTGTGTGCATACTACAAGACACATAATATTTAATAACACATCAATAAAACATGATGAATGGAACAAACGAAAAAATAAATGATTCAACCAAAGGAAAGAGGAAGGACAAAGCAAATAATAATTCATGATTTATCAGTACCTGGCATGGGGCAGGAACACTAACGGTACCAGGCCAGTTGTAATAGAGATGAGTTAATTTGTACGTTAACCTGTAGGAGAAAAAGACAAGTCAAGTATTAAATAACTTATCTGTTATGCCAGAGGGGGACATTACCTACTCTCAGGTTCACAACCATGGACTCAAAACTTTGTCCAAGGGCCGCAAGAAATTTTACTCACAACATATTTTATGAAATAAAGTCCTTGTATTCCACTCCCACCCCCTTGACATGACATAGAATTGATAGACGCAAAGTATTTTTCCATGCATGAGAAGTGAAGTTCATGCAATATATAGACTTAACAATCTTTTAGTTAGTTCATGAACAAACTCTGCATGCTAGACACTTTGTACGGCAGGAATACTTTAATATTCTTCTATGAAAAGACATTTTCGTTATGACAAAATGTGGACCTTGAAACCATATATATTGACGATTCTACAGTTTGGACTACATACTTTTGAACAATGTCAAGCTTCCAATTGGAAGAGTTGTGCACGACAACGTAGTGTGTTGGGGTGACTGTACCCTGGCGAACATTCTGGCTGACCAGGAAGAAATCAGGCCTGAAAGGTAAGAAAGAAAGATGAACAAGGGCTGGAGAAAACTCTACTCTACGACAATGTGGGGGGAGGGGGTTGTTGGTTTGGGTTTGGACATATCTTAAAATAACACAGGGATTTTCTGTTATCCCAACATAAAACAAAATAGGAATCTCTAACAGTTTTTTTAACTTTTCTTGTCCAAAAATCCAAAAGAATAAATATGATGAATTTCATAGGATGGTGTTTGGGCCTGATGAGAGGTGTTTGGTGGGTCACATACCAGTCTTTTCTCGTTATCGTGTGGTCTAGTACTGTTCCAGGACCAGGGTTTGTTAGTCTAGACTGTGGTCCTCGTCCCTAAAATCAAACAAATTATCTTTCAGAAACTGTTTTAATATTGGGTAGCTCTGACAAATCTTTAGCAAACTGAAAAGCAGAATGGAAAATGCATAAGAACCCTCAGCGTTGTATACAGCACTTTACAGGTCTGGCTGGAAATATGGAACCCAGAAGCTGTCTAGTGTGAAAAGCTGTAATGTCTGTCCAGTGTTTAACGATCAAAAAGAAAAGAAACCATAAAAAACGGTAAACCAAAAAAGTGGTTGATTTGAAACTATAGCCTTGTCCCAGAACAATAACCAATGAGGTGAATTACCTCTGACTGGAATAATCTTGTATTGATTCTCTTTTGGACCACAATAACTGTAAGCTTGGGCACATATGCCTCACCAAAGAGAGCAAAACACTCAGATAGCTGYTCTACTTCATACCCAGATACCACCTTCAGCTGACCATCACCTACTCCATCACGGAATACAACTATTCGGGTAGGAAGGGTATTGTTAACCTATAAAGATAAATGTTGGACATAACAATTACACATACCTAACAAAATGTAGAATTCAAACACTGGTCAATTTTGCTTTATCTTTCTTAAACAATTTTGTCAGTGTCTGGACTCGCTCGTTCGCAATATCATGTGGAAACTCGTTAATAAAAACAATATCAAGTTCTTAACATGTGATAATGTCTATACATTACATCGATTCAATTACCTCATGATATTTCTTGAGGGAAGCAGTGAGTGCCATTTTAAGACCATCCATCAATTCTTGTCCAGGAGATTGGAAGCAGACTCTAGAGTACCATCTGGTGAGGCTTTGATTGATGCTGCAAACCACTCCTCCCACAGACCTGCCTCCTCTTGCTGCATCATGATATACATCAATACCAACTACCATCAGACTTTTCTGTATAGTCAAACGAATATTTGAGGAAACTAATAACCAAAAGTGTATGTTGTATTACTTGATCTTTCCTAATGACACATATACAAAACTACTTGTTTCTTATTGGTAGAATGTCTCTCTCTTATCTTTATCAGTGCAATTGATTGCATGCATGGTTTGAATGTTAAAAAAAAACCATAATCAACAGGCTTTTCGTAGATGTGTTGTCAATAGGAAATACTATGTTTGTTCTCATGCTACACACTCATGGTATTAAGCAACTTCCATCAAATATGCAGGATATTTTTCATTAATTCTTCTTGAACACAAGGTTTCAGAACGATGTGGATTGGGTGGGTCATAACATTAAAGGAGCAGGCTGTGATACGATAGATTAATGATGATAATGATAAGGGAATGTTTGAACACCATCCTTGGGGGTTCTGGGAGTGGCTGCACGATAGAGGCTGGTAATTTAATAGACTCAGGTACATATTATTTGGTTCATTACGAAACCATTCTCTTATAAAGATGTTCTTCTATGGGCGTTTGATTAATTAGCATATTACAGCCTTAATGACCAATACAATCCTTAGTTTTGACAGTATTGGAAGAGGGGCTGTTTGAATTTTGCAAGTGTAAAAATTGGACAAGACCACTGACTAGTCTGGCACAGAGTGTCACTTGCAGTTTCTATTCTGATCATATGTTTGATAAACAAAGACAAGAAGTCCTGGTTTATCGGTGGGACACTTACAGAAGGAATTTCAACTTCCCACAGGGTTCCACCAAGCTTGACATTTATCTGGAGGGCGATTTTTTGGGTGACACTTCGTAACTTGTTGGCCTGGGAGATAGTTCTTGCATTGATGACCTGTTAATTATAGTAAGCAAAAGAAAAATTGTTATGAAGATTATTATCCTATGTCCTTCCTACTTTGCCTTCAATTACCAGGGTATGTGATAGAGTTGGTGTCTTAAAAATATTAAAAATCCCTCCACACAAAAAATGAACTTTTCTCTCCCCAGTCCAATGGTGGAAAAAATTCAAGCTTAAATTTTTCAGCAATTCTACTCTGGAACGGGGTATATAAAATCACGCTCACTCTGGAACAGTATATTTGAAATCAGGCTCTCTCCTCTCTGGAACAGGGTATCAATTTTCGCACTACCGGAAAAGGGTATGGTTTTCAGCGATCTTGCCCTAGAACAGGGTATGAATTTCTGAGATTTTACTCTGGAACACGGTCAGGGTTCAGAGGGCTCTGCGGCACATCCCTACCCTAGATGGGCAAGAGCCCCCCCCCCCCCCATCCCCAAGCAAAAACACCATATTAGTATAGAAGCTAACGACATACTTGTGATGGTATAGGGCTTTCCACACAACATAGTTTCTTTACTGCAGCATAACGATCATCTCTTGATGTAGGAAAGATAATGACAACCATCTGGACTCTGGGATGAAGGTTTTCTCTAATACTCCTTAGGTATGTCTCTGTTCTGTCATCCCTCAATTCAATCATATGTGGATCCCTTACACCTATTCCCATGACTGGAGTAACCTGCTTCATTGTGCTAATAAACTCAAGTGCCTTGTTTTGATCTCTTTTGACAAACACAATCATCCATGTGTGGAGGTCAACAGCAGAGATGACTTGCTGCCTTGTAGCATCTCTACCCCAGTCTGCATTATTACCAGCCGAACAGCTTGAGTTCCCAAAGTGAATTGTTTCAGCTGCAAGCTGTCTTCCTTCCGTCTAGTAATTAATAGGAACAGTTTAGCCTAATTTTTTTWAATCAATTACTGGAAGGTACATAGCAATATTTTATGGTACATAGCAATATTTATTTTAAGATTCTATTTGATTTAAGAAGCAAATTACACGATTTGCTAAGCACATTCCAGGGTTCCCGTTTATGAAACATGCTTGAACAACCTAATTACACATGCCAAAATCAGGATTGGAACTGGAATTGGAGTTCCAGATTGAGTTATTTATCAGTTGTACTATTTTATCAATATTTTTGGAAGCTCAACCAACTAAATACTCCATGCATGTTGAAGCCAGGTCCTCCACTCCCCCCTTCCAGGTATCCCAGTCAATGCTGCCTACAGGGTCTAGTTATTCATTGATTATTATATAAATAATCTTTTGGCAAAGAATAAAACAGGAATCATAATTCAAAGTACCTGTAAAGCTGAGGTATCAATCTTCAATCCCCAGCTGGACAACTGTTCAAGTGCCTGTAACAACACAAAAAATGCAGCAAATAAAGAAAATGAAATAAGAAATGCAAAACAAACTGAAACATTTCTTTATTTTAGTCTGTTTCAATACTTACCTCAGGACAAGAATTGATATTCTGGATGAATTTCTTCATGGCATCCAAGCGCTGCATTGGGCCCACTCGTGTGTGTGCTGATATATCCTACAAAGTCATAAAGGGATCATGTTAACATCAAATTGATGCAGTTTTATCATAAAACATGTATTTTCAGAGTCTTAATGCATCCCATTCCTGATCAATGTCAAGAGGAATAAATTTGGAACCCACACATTTACCCTTATATATATTCTGACAAATTTTCAGTTTCAAAATCTGAGCACCATCCCTTAAGGACGGTGCCTACTAATTGAGAATCAATTATTTTTTTAAATGACTATGTGAATTATTTTAACCTATCAAAGGGTTGTCAAATTCTGGTTAGAAAAGTAGGGGTCACCATGCATTTAAAAGAAATAATAAGGCTTAAAAATTGTTAAAAAGTGATGACGTCATGATTTTACTACCAGGAAAAAAATTTCTTTTCAAAAGATTTTGAGAAATTTCTAATTTAAATCATCCTAAATGACTGACACTTTGTTTCTTTACTAAAATATACCCAATTCTACCATTACTTTAATAGTTGGCTATAATATATATATTTTTTTAGCTTCGTGCTCCCTATTTTCGATCAGTAGGTACATAAAGATTGTGTCTATATTCTTTTCAAAACCAATTATTTTTTATAAATTTCATTTCATGAGGCTAATTTAGCATTTACTCTATCATTTAAACGAAGAAAAAATAGGGGTATCCAGGCGTTTTTTAATAAATACGAATTTTTAAAGAACATTATTAGGGATAAATCTGATGCCGAATGCGTGACAAGCGTTACACAGCATAAAAAACGGCGTGACAAACTCTGTTTTCGGCGCGTTTGCACGTCAAGCTAAACATTCTGCTTCCTGCCATGCAAGCAAAAAACACAGAGAAAAACTCGATATTTATAAGCTTTATAGTTCCAGGAAGCCTATTGGGTTTGAAGTGAAGTTACTATTGACTTTTTACTTAACAGCAGAAAGGAATTTCTGAAATATTTGGTACGTAATAAGATGATTTTTTAGATTGAGAACTCCAAAGTAAAAGAATTTCATGATGAAGGTGTTTAGTGACCAAAAAAAGATTTTCAAAACTATAATTACACACCTAGATATTAATAAATGGTAAATTTTCAATTTCATATGTATTTCTCGTTTGTTTTTATTCAAATTTTATAGGATTAAATCTAAACAAATGGTAAAAAGCTTTATTATTGAAAGGATTTGGTTTTTTAGAACTATGAGTCTGTCATTTTTTCACTGAAACTTGCCCAAAAAACCTTATGATTCTTTGTCAATAATACTTAAATCTTAGCAAATTATCTCTTAAACAAGCCTGGGTTATTTAAGATCGTTTTCTGTTTAACTTTTATTGAAAATAAACGTTTTGTTTTGGCAATTCGAGTAATAAATTTTGAAATTCCTCGAATGTAGATGCACAGTGCGTGTGCGCGTGGACAATAGTAGGCACCGTCCTTAACTCAATGAATACATATATATTGAATATGATTCTAACAAACAAAATTGATCTCAACAGAATTTTCTGATATATTTATGCATTACAGAGAGGACACTAGAACATGAGCGGTAGGATATTTTCAGACATTTTTACTGCATTCTTTTACAAGCAACCAATCAGGAGTTATATCTTACCTTCATGACTCTAAAATCTTGTCTTATGGCATCAGTGAGCCCAGTCATAGAGCACAATTCTGGGATCAGACAGACAATCTCTAGGGTTTTTCTCTATTGATCAAAACATCACATGGTTAACACATATTCCTGGGAATGTCCCTAGAATGTGTACTCCTAGAAATTATCCATAACCCCATCCCCATCACCCCAGAGGAATTTGAAACTTCCCTGGGGTAGGGAGATCAGAGAAAGAACAAAGTTACAGAGTTCGTATGGAAGAAAATTGGAATTTCTAGGGGCAGGGGGCAGGTGGGGGAGTCTTTAAAAAAATTCCTCCATTTGGGGGCAGGGGTTATGGGTAATTTCTGGAACTTCTGTATATTTAAAGTGAATGGCTCTTTTTAGTTTTGACAAGTTTCTCTATTTCATATCAGTTAATAATAACAATATCAAAAGGGTGTATTGAGGGTGGAAAAGAAATGAAAACAATTAAAAGTGAAGGACAAATAATTTTAAACATGCAACTCAACCTGAAGGAACTTATAAAATCTTGAAGCAAACAGAAGATGAACAACCCAAAGTGTGAGTTCAAGTTTTACAAGTTGTTCTTTTAAAAGTTCAAAAGATGGTATACTAAAATCCTTTGTTTCGATTTGAGTTAAATAGTAATAGTAACATAAACTATTATTCCTGAACTATCTTTATCTATGGTAGAGATCACAACTAATTAAACATTTTCACTTACCCTTCCTGGTTCAGCATCTTTCTTCTTTGGTCTGTGTACTAATAATGGCTGCCGCATGTCTGTTATTTCTACGCCATAGGCTCTCCTACACAGAAGAAACCACCCAGAAAGATTGTTATTAAAGTAATTACAATACAAGGCTAGCTATAAGCTGTGAGCACAATACAATTGTAGGTAATTGCTACCATTAGCCATATTAGATATATTTTTATCTCTACATTCCTGTGGCTTTAGCTTTAATCCCTGGTGCAAAACATGGAGAAAACACCTACCTCCAAACACAGAATTGATATATGGCAACCAATTTGAATAACTATTGTTCTGGACTGACTAGCTACGTTTTCACATGTATGAATAGCTACTCTAATTGTTTGCCATATTTCGATTAGGCATATCAAGCTAAATAACAAGGCTATAAAATTAGAAGCATATAACGGTATGTCACAACCTTAGTAACCAATACAATCCTTAGTTTTGACAGTATTGGAAAAAGGGCTGTTTGAATTTTGCAAGTGTAAAAATTGGACAAGACCACTGACAAGTCTGGCACAGAGTGTCGCTTGCAATACAATAAATAGAAAATATACCAGCACATTAAATGTAGAAACTGTAAAGATCTATTAGGGAACATGACCAGAACAAGATAATTCAATGCCAATATCAATTACATAATAGTAATCATAGAAATAACCAATTTATTCACATTATAGTTTGAAAGAAGATATAAGAGGTTAACCTTAGATCTCCTAAGATAAAATTGGAATTTAGGTATCAACTGGAAAACAAGACATCAAATGGTCTTTAATCAATAGGTCCATGCCCTATGCTTTGCACAGGTCAACCTCTGCCCTGGTTAGTAAATAAGCAATTTATTATTTCATATTATGGTACCTATAATAGTCTATATATGTTATTTCCTCTCCATTGTGGGATGTAAAGGTACTTAGTGGATTCTTATTCCATTCTATGTCATCTACTCTGTATGTCTTGTTGTTGTATCTGAAATGAGAAAAGAAAAAGCAAATATGAATGAATGCAAAGCAAATATGAATGAATGCAAAGCAAATTATGAAAAACCATTGATAAGTACTGTTGTTGAAAGCTAATGCTAAAAAAGGTTTTGATTTTCAAGAGAACAATAGCATAAAGTGTATATCATGAGAAAACTTTTATTTAAAAAATATGCAAATGAGATGATGTAAATTCAAGAATGTGTTACATTTTGCATTGTAATTCAAGACAAGTGTTCTGAAGTGAAACAACCAAAAAGTGTACAAAACCATATATTTCAGTTATAAGGATGATTTGCAAATGAAATAAAATGGCAGTACTTTCCACAACAGCATTTCTATAATTCAAATGCTTATATCTCCCAAAAGAAAATTTCACATGTAAAAATACTGCAACCATACTACTACTAACAATGTTCATACATAAGTGATTTTCAAAACATTTTCCTTGATATACACTTTAAGAGGAAATTTTTTTCAATAATGAGCAATAATGGCAAAAAGCGCCAAAAACTAGACTTTCGTATGAGTTTTGACCCCAATTTTCGTTTTGGGTTAACACTCACAACCTCTTTTAAACAGTTAGAAACTGATGTACTATGATAAAATGCATGTTTGAAGTGGTATTTTCAATTGTACAAAGATGTTTTTTTGCCATGTGTTAATGTTGCTTTGTCAGGCTTTTTTATAGAAAATATATGGGAAATAAGCAAATGAAGGCCTAAACCTTATTTTCAATTCAAATTTTTGCTTTGGGTTAACACTTAGATTTCACTTTCATCGGTCACCTCCACTTCCAAACAAGTTAAACTTTCTGAATAACAAGATTTTAGCCTTGTACAACAGCTTTTCTTCAAGAAAATAGTTTTGGCGCTCACTGCTTGAATATGAAAAGAATTCTCTTTTAATATAAAATTTGATCAAGGATTACCCGTAACTTGGCTTTGAATTAAAAAATAAAAAATTTGCAATAAAAAGATAATAATGAAAATGAAAAAAAAAAGAAAAAAAAGAAAAGAAAGAAAGAAAAGAACAGGACAGAAAAGAATAAAAAAGGGATGAGGAAAATGGAAAATAAGTGATAATAGTATTGAGAAATGGAAAGCTTACCTGGTAAGGACTATATTACCAATCAACTGTTTCATTGTTTCTTCTTGGTACCTTTCTTTGTACTTGCTGTACATATCAATCCTAAAATAAACCAATACATTCAGTACAAACTTTTACTTTACGTGGACCTACTGATGGAATGAAATACACTTTCCATGGAAGACGTCACGATCATGCGTCAAGGGGTTGAAATGCGGACAAGACAAGCCAAGTACACATGCTAACATGCTGCAACAATGTTTTGTAGTCTTGTTGTTTACAATTCATTAAGTATTGAAGAAATTTGGTTTTTTGACTGATATTCTTCTTCTTTTCCACATAAATGAAGCCTTTATTTGCAATGTTTGTCCACATTTTGATCCCACAAGGCTTTGCAATACAAATATTTTTAGTAAACATGAAAAATTAAAGCCATTTAAAGTGAGTCAGAGAATTTAAATTCTGAAGGTATTGGATTTTGGCTTTCAACAATTAATCAAATTTTTAATAGTCATGGAACAGAATAAAGGAGCAACATTTGTTTGAAATGCTTCTCAAATCATCACAATTGTTGGGGAAAATCATAGTTAATGGAGCAGAATGTTTGGCCAGCGATATTGATATTTTCAATCACTTGATAATGACCATGCACAATGAACCAATGCAAGTATGACAGTGATTTCCTTATTATTTTCATGTGTGAACATTTTGAAAGTGAAAACTTTCATTTGATGACCACAAACCATGCAGATAAATATTTCCATGCAGATACAGTTAAGTTACTAGATGATAAGTAAGAAAGCATGAAAAAAGGCAATTTCCTTTTTGATAAACAATTAATATCATCATATAGGATTAATTAACAAACAATGACTACTTAAGGAAGCTTTTTTTAGGGAAAAAATTCTATATTCCCTAATACTGTGAACAAATTATGGAACAATTTTTCCTTCTCTGTGCACCATCAGTGTCATATAACGATAGATAACGTCAAACAAAAACCTAGAACAATAGGTTTCCCAACCATTCTGCTCCATTAACTATGGGAAAATTAAAATAAAGGTTGACCACCTCCAGAGTTCATTAGAATCACATTTCTAAACCTTTACATACTTGTACCTCTTTCTAGTCCATTTTATGTAAATTGCTGATGCCCAGCTATTTTTTAAAGTTTAGCTTATTAAATTTTAATATCATATACAGACAAATAAAGACATCCTTAAATTTGCTCTTTGACTTACATAAAGTTCATGACAGTTTCTGTTCTGAGTAGCCTGTGTGAAACATCACACAACAGCATCAATCCCCCTTCATAGTGCTGTATAGAGGTAATATAACCAGGCCATAGCTCTATCTTGTGCTGAGGGATGACTGCAGGTCTTGATGGATCATAATAATATCTCCCAACTTGTTGCATCTTTAAGATCTTCATAATTCTATTTGAAAAATATATAAGTCAGATGATGATGTCAGATGATGAACTAGAATTTAAAATTCTCTGGACAATCCAATAGCTCATAATTATAATAAATTGCTACCTCAACCTTCTGTTTTCTTTTAGATTTATTCATTTTTTGTCAAGCTATCAACTCCCAATGTGGGTGATCATGCAGGTCTAAAGCTTGCCTCAGGGCATCTGACATTTTGCAAGGAAAAAATGAAAATTGTGTGGGATTTGGGATGTAAATTGTGCAGAAAAAATCGTCAATAATAAATTGTGCTGGGAAAATTGATTCAGATTGTGCAGGATTTCTTTTTTTCTTCTGCTTTTGGTTTTTGTATTTTGGTTTGTTTGTTTGTTGTTGTTGTTTTTTTTGCTTAGTACTTAATTCCAGGAGACGTAAGAGTCATCCCTCCARTTTCAAAAGCTAAAAATCTTTATCAAAAAAAAAGAAATATTGTCCTTTGAATCATGAGCCACAAGGCGTTACTAGAATTTATGTATTCCCATACTTCTGTGCATAGGCTTTTTACTGATAGACAAGCTTTTAGGTGCCTTATTATCTGAAAAAACAGCTAGTCAGCTTCCCATCCCTGCAAATTGCGTCCATTAAATGTACAAAAGTTTGGTGGCCCACGAGTAACTTATTGTTGTGAATGGCTAAACACGATCTTTAAAACATGAAACATTGTATTTTAAGATGTGAAGCTAAATATGTTTTACTGTGATTTTCTCAATAACATGGACACCGAAGTTCAAAAGTCAACGTGCAAACGAGGTTTTGCCTTCCGTTAATCAAAAACAATCAGTCATGGTGCCTTTTATATTTTTGCTGTCAAGCTGTCACAACGAATCTGACTGACTACTTACAATCTAAAAATAGCAATAATGTAAGAATAGGTTTTTCCTGCCGTGAAAAGAGCCTGAATTTGTTGCAAAAATGACAATAATCAAAAAAATGCCTGGTTATTTTAAAATTTTTGACAATTGTAATTAGGTCTTAGATCTGTAAGGCTTTCCGTCCACCTTACAGTGGTAAAGTTGAATGACTCTAAGATTGTGCGGGACTGACCAAATTGTGGGGGTGTAAGATGCCCTGCTGACAAAATAAATGTAAAAAAAAAGGTTGGAATAGCAATTTATTGTAATTGGTACCATGAATTTCAACACAACCTACAAACACAAATTTGATTTAATCCAATAGTCAATAAAGGAGTATATATCTTACATCTATATCACATCCTATATCTTACCTTCTTAATAGAACGTTATAAACCTGCAGACACTCATCAGGAGGGACCACCCTTGTCAGAGTAAGGGTGACTTTGACGCTTATTTTCTCTATGGGGTGCTCAGAAATGAGATCTGTTTTCTATAAAAATAAGACAAAGAAAAGTAGACAAGATTGACAACAAATAGAAACTAGAAACAATCAAAATAATAATTCATTACATTCATACAGTGCTATAATATATACTTTGCACATACATTCTATAGCTTTATGTGTATGCACTCTATAGTACAACAATGATGTATTATTTTTTTCTAATGCCTGTTTTCAACAAGAGCAGATATTACTTTAAAGGTGATACCTTTGTTCTACCAAGAAAACATAAATAAGAGTGCTTGTATTTGTCATTTCCTTTACTTATTCTTATTTTGGTGTTGTTACTGAAAACCAAGATTTGCAAACCTCTTGTTCCAACTTTCTTGGGAGGTATAAAGTGATGCCATCAAATGCTTTGGTCTGGCCAATGAAATCTCTGTGTTGATGAAGGAGCTTGTATCGCATGTCTTTGCTGTCCATCACAGGACTGAAAACAGAAATACACAGCAATAATTTTGTTAATGATTAAGAAAATCTTTTTCATTATAGTTTTATCCATGAAGTACCGTAAATCCTCTATTTAGCCCCCCGGGGGGCTTATTTATTTCAGGCAAGTTTGAGGGAGGGCTTATTGGAGAGAGGGGGCTTAATTGAGAGGGTTGCTTATTGATTTAGTCGAAACGCAGTATGTAATATGATTGTAACTCAGGATTAAACGGAAGCATTACTATTGACCGTCTTGCATAATCTGTAGTGATGTACATGGCATTTTTATTATTTGATTCACCTGTGTTAGTCTCTCAAGTATAATTTACGATTATTGTGAATAGCAAAACTAAAACACGGTAACATTAACAAAACAAGCTAAAAAGATTGTTCTGAACAACCAAGACTTTAATAAATCACCTTTAATCAGTATATGTGATTCTTTAGTTGCGAAAGGGGGTGGGGGGAGGCTAAAAAGAGAGGGGGGGCTTATTAGAGAGGGGGGCTTATTTGAGAGGGGGGGCTAAATAGAGGATTTACGGTATGTATTTCCTCATTTCTCTCTCACAAATAACAGAATTAATACTCAAGCCTTAACTATGGAAACATTTATTGCACCTATCATTGCCAGTTCCAAAGGGGATGAATTTTTCCCGACCACTTTATGTGTTTAAAAATTTTAAGTGGGTTTTTAAAGACAGGACGCATTTTCTACTTACTCAAAAGTGACACAGTACTGAAAGACACCTTGTTGAGGACTGTAAATAGGGATGTAATTTGCACTAAGTGCCAACCTGAAATGGATAAACAAAAAAAGAATTATAGTAAAATTGTGCACCATTTCTTTACATATTTAACAGAAGTTTGTAGGATAAGAAAAAAAGATTTTTATACACCCCAGGTGATCTGACTTAGTAGCATGCAACGCATAATTTCTGTGAATGAAAAACAATCAATCCCGTCAACCACACCATCACATGCTCAATTCACTTAAGATTTGTGGAAGCTATCTTGAACGAAAGATAAATATTGATGAAATTGAGACACTCTCAATAACAGATATGAGACTTCACTTAAGTTTTAAAGCATCCCGAAGATAAGAGAAGCGCAAGTTGTAGGTTTCGTAGTTAAATTCTACCAAGAAAATGAGAAAGTTTTTTCCTAGCTTTTTCAACAGTGATTAAGGGTTAATCTTTTTGTGATAAACAACTGATGAACACAAATCTCTAGTCTCATCTGGACAACACATCATTTAAAGCAAAAACAATTTTGAGCCTTAAAATGTTGGTTAAATAACATATTTTTATCCTAGCATTTTCCTTGTCTGCCATTTTGTTTTTTCCCAAGCACATAAAGAATTGGAAGCCCAAAGATGCATGGCACTGATTCTTTTTTTCAGAAAACAAATTCCAAATTTGCTGGGAAGCATGGGTGGAGTAACGGTGTGAGCGCTCGCCTCTCACCAATGCGACCCGAGTTTGAGTCCTGCCGTGCTCAGTGTTGTATGTGAGTAGAGTTGTTTGTTTGTTCTCTCCTGTGCTTCGAGGGCATTCCGGGTTCTCTGGTTTTCCCCCTCCGCAAAAATCAAGTCATAAATTCCAATTCGATCACGGAATGAGGGCTACAGGTTTGTTAGGTAATGGCTATTAACCCTGGTGAAAAAAGGACGGTTTTATTGGCTAATTGTTTTTCTCAGATCACAAGGTTTCAAAAGCAAAACAATGAAATTTAAACATGCAAAAACTTTTGTTTTATGGTTCTTCAACCTTTACATTGAATTCAGTTGGGACACTTACACTTTACCAGAAGTACCCTTCTCTACTGTGGATCTGTAAAAATGATAAAATTTAATAAATGATTAAATCATAAGAAGATTTAACAGTTAACAAGTTTTTGAATAGTTGATGGTGACTGAATAGTGACCAAAATATTATTAACACATTGCCATGTCAATTTTTGATCTTCCTTTATATTGGAAATCAATTAATAGTTCCATCCGATAATTTCAAAAACTCATTAATAATTCATGAGGAAAACACAACAGAAATCACTACTGTGAAGAGTGTTGTAAATCTGATACAAAATTGTGTTCATATGCATAAACTTWAASTTGGATTTTCTTGGCCAGATTCACTTTAATTTTGAAAATTTTAGTGAAACACAAAGGAACTAACCTAGACGTTTGACAAGCAATGTACAGTATCCGTGTCCATGTTATATCTGATATACAAACGCTCGACTACGCCTTGAGTTTGTATATCGGATACCACACGACCACTCAGTGTATATATTACGTATATATATAATACAACATTAATAACGATTATATGACCTATATAGATTGGATACTATATCCTACATTGCTTATCAAATCTCTTGGAGTAAAATTTAATGTTGTACTATTTTTTTGATTGAAGGGTAATTTCAGATGTCTGGACTTAACTTGCATGCATAATTATAAAAACAGGTAAAATTGATAATAATAAATAATAATGATTATCCAATTATTGGATATTGGATAAATAAAATACATACCTATGTGTGGCTGCACCCCTGTCTGCAATACCCATTCTAGACATTGCTTCAATGGGTGCCTATGAACAAAATAACAGCAAATAGTTATATTCTTATTTCTAGGAATTAGTGTAGTATCTAAATACTTGTGTACATACATAAAGCTGTGACTTTTTGAATTACGCTAATATATCTGGAGATATCTTGAGTTTTTATAAACAAGAAAAATGCAACTATGTGTATAACCTATTAGCTGCCTACAAACATCTTAGACATGAAAAATGACACTCTGACCTCTGATACTCATTTCTTTAAGTAACTTACATCAGGAGAAGAGGGCTGGGCATATTGTTGACTAGGAGGTTGGACAACTGCTTGAGGTGGAGCAGGTTTTCTTGACAGAGGTGGACCTTGTGGCTGACTGGGTGGTTTATCATATGGCTGACTGACTGGTGGTGCACCCCGTCCATACATTGGCTGTTGTGGTACTGGTCCCCTTACATGTGCCCCTACAATATGGAATCAACAATATGATAAGTAAATATGTAAAATAATAAATTTTCTGCAAAAAAAATGTTGGTCATAGAAATCTTGGAGGAATAGCCAAAAAAGTTTTTAAAAAAAATAATCCCCCATCGTAGGGATCATTTTGATTAAGTTTTTTGTGGAATTTGAGGTTTAAAAGATGATGAAATCGTGGTTTAAAGTGTGTTGTTTTTTTAAAGATGGTGACTGGACTTTTCTCCCTTGTCAGAGTATATATACATAAGAGCAACATTAGATACCATAGGGGAATTATATAGGAAAGCAAAGGTGCAAAAGAAAAAAAATGTTCTAGTGCATTTTTTATCAGTTTTTTTTTTTTTTTTTACTCTTTCGTATTACGGAGGTCATTATCTTGACCTCGAATTTTGGAAAATCAATCATTTAGTTTTTCCAATTTTATTTTCACCATTCACTTTAATCTAAATTGGACTCCCCATAGTTTAACTTCTCTTGAAGTCTAGGAGAGCAGAATCCCAATTGGATTTAGTTGGCATGTTTATATTATTAGTTTTTACAGTTGTAGATGGATTCAGTAAATCAAAAGAGAAAACTAATATTCTAATAATATAAATTTACTGATATTTACTTTTCTTGGATTCCAAAAGATTTCATTAATTTCATGATACAAGGTTCTAAACCTTAAAAATAATAGTTTAATCTTTCATTCGTAAAAGATTATTCTAAAGGTTTAGAACCTCATAATATGAAAAAAATTAAATATACTAGACATAACAATAGATCTGGAATGGGAATACCAACTTACCCCGTCCATAACTTTGAGAAGGTTGGCCAGGCAAAGCATGACTACCTTGCTGTGGAGGGCCTCTACCTTGTAGCTGTTGATATTGCTGTGGCTGCTGTTGGTATGGTGGTTGGGGATATTTCTGTGGAGGTGGTGCTTGTTGTTGATAAGGTGGTCTTTGCTGATATTGATGATGTGGTGGTTGGGGATAATGCTGTGTTGGTGGTGGTTGCTGGTAATGCTGGGGTGGTCCCTGTTGACGAGGTGCTTGTTGATATGGTGGTTGTTGATATAGAGGTTGTTGTGGTGGGTACGGTTGTTGCTGTGGCAGTTGTCCTTGCTGATATGATGGTTGTTGTCCTCTTCCATTCTATAAATGGATCAAGATATCACCATTAAAATATTTAAGAATAAACATCAAAGCTAGGAAAGCCTTATTAATAGAGCTATCCCAAGTAACTGTCGTTTATTTCTGAAACCAGCAAACATCTATAGACAAAACAAAATTTCAAATATTTACAAACAAAAAGATAATCTTCATTTTTTGAATGATTTTCTAACCTGTCCGTTTTGTGGTCCTTGACCCGGTGGTCTGGTAGGTTTTTCTAGGGCCTGTATGTAAACAATAATTGTTTTTTATTAGCTAAAAACTTTAATATAACTTAGAGTAATTTTTGTCACTGCTCACAATTCCAAGTTAGGTAGGTATCACAAAAATAAAGTTAAAACAATAGGATAGGGATTTTTTTTTTTTTTTAATGGCGGGACTGATACTAGTAAGCGCAGAATTAGATGTAATCTAGACCAAACAACCACGAAAGGAGCCAAGATGTTGTGCAACTCAAACATATTATTTATCGTTGTAATGCCATGCAAAAAGCAAAAAAGYACTGCATATTGGAGACATTTAAATTAATTAAACTGAATACTGTGCTAAGAGAAGTAAAAGAAGAGCGACTGAAGAACGATAGGTCTTGTTTAAACGTGACCATGTGAACAAGAAAGACAAGGTTTTAATTAAAGACAACAACAAGCAAAACAACAATAGCCAACAAGCTCAAAGACTTACCTGTAGAAGAGCGGCTCCACGGCCTCCTCTACCTGCCATTTTCTTTTAAAGACTAAAAAAGGCCTTCGTTAATCCTTCAAATATAAAAATCACTCATTTTTAAGTAATTTCGCTAAAAGAACAACGATAAAAATCAGTTTTTATCTCACAAATACGTTCTCAATAAGCACATGCTCTGGACAAATATCAAGCGCCAGCGCTAGCTGCGCATCCTCCCATACTATGAATCAACCAATCAAATGCCTTCATTTTACCGCTTAATGCAAGAATTTTCGGGCTGTATTCGGCTTACGTACCTTGGGTTTCGTATTTCATTCGCACCAAACAAGCATATAGCAAAAACCTCACAGAATAGAAATGAGTTAAACAAAAAACTTTAGAGTTTAAAAAAATCGATCAATTCTTGAATAAATGAATGTAAATATATCATATGCTGACGCTTTTTTTTAAAGAATTGATTTCCTCAAACTAGCGGTTCGTTATCGGAAAACTGACGTCATTTCCGGCTACGTTCCGAACTTGAATTCGGAATGTATTCGGTCAAAGGTCAACAATTCAAAACAAACCAACATGGCGCGAGAAAGAGATGGTATCAAACCAGCTCTCGATATGAATCATGGCTTTGTTCAATCTATAATCCGAAATCAAATAGACAGAGACGAATATGATAAAGATCAAAGGCTTCTGAAACTAGAAAAGGAAAGACAATTGTTGAGTGGAGAGATAAAGGAAGAGAGAAAAAGAAAAGAGAAACGAGCTCCTCTTCATCAAGTCTATGTTCCACCTCACATGCGAAAAGGCTCCACAAGTACAGGTATCACACAGATAAATTACTCAATTTAGCTGCTATTCTTTAGCTTTATGCATGGTGTTTGTTTGTGGATCATGCTTACAATTAGAATAAGGCCATTATTTTTTAAAGGGATCGTGCTTACAGTTTAGAATAAGGCCATTTTTTAAAGGGTCGTGTTCAAATTTTTCCATGAGAAATATATTTCAAAGATATAAKTTTCTAGATGTTGTTCAAGGTGTAAAAATTAGGATAAGCTTATATGTGTCCAGGTAAGTTTTGGATTATGAATGAATCTTAACAGAATCCTTTGATGGCCAATGAGACCTTCCTGTTAAAAGTATATCCAAGTACCAACCTATGATGATCTATGGTGATCAGGGATTTGACTGGAAATATTCTCCTTGTATGTCTTGTATGACTGTAAATAAAGAGCAATTATTATTCTTAATACTTAAAGTGTATATGACACGAAAACATTTCATCGTTTGAAATGTTATAGTTTATTAGTAATAAAAAATATATCATTAATTAGAAAAACTAATGCAGATAGATTTGAACGTTTCGATGACATCCTGTCATCATTATCAAGAAACTAACTGAAAAATATTTTGCATATGAGCCAGAGCTGTTACATGGACTACAGCAGGGAGAGGCAATCAGTAAACCAAGTGTCACCCATGCCAGTCCTAACCACTAACCATACATTCTTCTCAACAACAACAACAACAACAACAACAACAACCTTTATTTTACTCATAGGGGGAAGAATAATACATAAAAAATGTTCTGAAGGATTCTTATTCGTTGATTTAACTTCTTTACATCTGACCTTCTGAACTGTTGATTACTTTAACTTCGATCTTCACCATACAACTGCACTAAACGCGCACACTGTGAACTGAATGGTTCCAGCTTCAATACTTCTTGAGCTATGTTCTTTCGGGAATATGAACTTAGGCATGGCTTTAGGCATGAAACTTATCTATGTCTAGAACTTTCTAGAATTTTCTATTACTTGTACATTTTTCTAGAATCTTCTAACGAAGAAAAACATTTAGTATTAGAAATCTATTTACTATTATGCAGGACATATATATTTACAAAGAAGAAGGGAAAAAAAAAGATAGTAGAATTAGTGTTTGAGAATAAGTGTTTGAACATGGACCAAGGCCTTCACTAGCTTTTACTGGTATCAAAAGTGAATGACCCAGACAATTATTCTCCTCAGGCTCAGTGATTATCATCTTTCGAGTGCAATCACAGAGGGATAATAAACGGTCTGTGAACCAGTTTTAAACGAGGTTTTTTACCGATGTCAGCACATGGAAATTTTCTCCTTTTCCTTTGTTTATTATCTCACATCAATGTTTTGAGCTCATCTTGACTTACAAGTTTGCTTGTTTACAATTAAAAAATGGTTGTTTTTCATGCACTCTTTCTAAGTTTTTTGGTGTGGTACAATATACAATTTATTACACTGCTAGTTGTTTATTACAGCCAGACAATTTAAGAGCTCCATGTAATACACAGCTAGCAGTGTAATAACCTCTAGATATATTGGCTGGGGGCTCATGGTTCCTCCATCAATAAGAGGACAGTCAATGGAAATCTATAAGCAATTTATTAAACTGATACCAACTAATTCACCTTTTGAGCACTAGCCCAAAACGTGTTGGATTTTGTTACAGTCACCAAAAAATTTGGACAGCATTCTCGGATTTCCATACAAATTCACTAAGTTTAAAAAGAAAATTCATATCGATTTCTTTGGTTACTTCTCTAAACAGCAGTAAGAAAAGCTTTAATCAAGTTAGAGAAATGTGTATGTAGAGAGCTAACTAAACAAACAAAGTAAATAATTTGTTTAAAAGTCAGTACATTTAATAGAAATCTGAGAACAATGTCCGAACTTCTCGGTGACCGTAACACAATCCAACACATTTTATACCACATGATGGCTAGTGCTCAAAAGGTGAATTAATTGCCCTGCTACAGTTGGCACTTTCTCAGGGCCTTTGGGTGCTGGTACCATCTTTTATGGACCTTTTTCCCTGGTGACTCTTGGCATCTGTAATAACAGACCTTGACTTATATCCAGAATGTGTGTGGAGTGTGGGAAGGGGAACCTGGCTAGAGCCCACATCACTAACCCCCCGAGAAGTCCTTATATAAATGAAACAGTGACATTTTTTTGTCTTACTCAGAGCAATCACCAACAACATTGCTAACAAAAGAATCTAGTGAATCTGAGCTGCTTCTACAGCTTGAGTTTGAAGGAAAAGATGGAAAAATGTCTTACCTAAACATTACTAAGGTATGTTTTATGTCAGGTACTCGTATTGATTCATGAATCCTCATAGGAGGCAGAGGGGATGCAAGAGCCCCCACTGTTGTTAGAGTAGTTTCAAATTCCTCTATATTTTTTGCTTGTTTAATTGCTATTTTTTCTGGTTTAATTACTTTCAGCCCCCCCCCCCCCCACACACACAAATTACAAATTTTTCATTTCATTCTGCTGCCACTGATCTTGAGTTGTTGTATTTTGTACTTTGATTACAATATCTTTACATTGCAGAATGATGATCTTAAAAAATCTGTTCGGCAGTTTGCTGCAGCCAATGGTTTAGATTCCAGACTAAGAGATGCCTTGTATCACAAACTTTATCTAGAATTGAGAGGAACCTGACCAGGACCCAATAGTTTGAGTTTTTAGGAGGCATATTATAATATAACTTTAGAATACCCTGCACTACATAGCTACTGGCTACTTTATATAAACCTTGACAAGTTTAAAATGTCTATTTTCRTTCAAAAAACTAACATTTCACACTTATTCACTTGGAGTCAGTCTTGAAGAGAAACAAATGTGCTTTGTGGTCCTGAAACAAAGCCAGTGAATTAAAGTACTACTAAATAAGTATTTCATTATACACCAAGTGTCAAAAAACATGAAACAGGTATTTGATTTTTTTAAACTTAGAAAAACTTACATTGTTGGTGATATCTTCCAGTTTGTTGGCCAGTGAATGAAGGTAATGTAGCCCACTCAGAACATTTGCAGGGAAATAATGAAATTTTATGGCTATTGCCACATTTTGGCCAATGGCAGGGCTGTCAACCCCGAGATATTCAAATCTGGAGAATTGATAGGGAAGGGACATGACGTCACAGCGCGTCAAAAAGCACGCGAAAAGACATCTTTCGCTTTGTAACATTTAATATGATTGGTTTATTTCTGACCTATCAGATTATCGCTTTTATTACAATGGCCTGCTTGCAAGAACAGTTTATGAGGAACATTTTGATTTTGTTAGCGATTTAAAATAACACAAACAACACAAAATAATCGGAATTTTATGGTTGTGAAAGTCTAGTCTCACAAGAAATGGTCAGCTTCGGGGATTATCCGGGAGATTTGAGACTCTAATCTGGAGACCGGGAGATACGGTCCAAAATCTGGAGACTCCCAGTTTATCCGGGAGAGTTGACAGCCCTGCAATGGGAAGAGAGGAAATAATGAAGTTTTTGACACTTGGTGTATAACAAATTTATTTCATATTATTTGGAAAGACCTGAGGTGGAGTCTTTTTTTCTGTGAATGTACCATGAATGTATTGTAGCCAGGGTTTAAAATTCTTTATTTTCAAGATCAGCAGCTAAGAAGCTTGTGGGTTTGAAAGTTATGAGTAAATATAGTTTCTGGCTCTTTATTTTGTGATAAACTTCCAATAGACAAGACAATGATAATGGAAAAGGAAATGATAATAGGACGATATTTCAGAACATAAATTGGGATAAGGTGAACTTTAAAAACTTGCTACCTGATTTTCTATCAGCAAAGATGTGTGTGGATATTTTTAAACTGTTAGCCATCTTGTTAGCTGGGTTGAGGTTATAGGTTGCATGTGTCACCAAGTTGCCATATAGGACAGCAGCTGTGATGTTGAAGGATATTCTATAGTTATTCCAATACTCCTTTTTACAGTTCCGTTCAGTGATCACGAATAATAGTTCTAAATCGAGGCTGGAGTTTCCAAGCATAGCCGAAAACAATACTTTTTATGATGCACGGAACCTCTAGCCTCAGCTTGAAACTATTATTTGTGGTCACTGAACGAAACTGTGAAATAGAGTATTACGAATTTATTTAATTTTTTTTTTCAGAATCCATGAAAGTAGGCATGAATTGACTCTAAGTTAGTTCTTTGTGTTCTCATTTTATAGTATTTTTGTGAATATTAAATGTAACTTTGTACAGCTGAAGTAATTTTTTTTGCACCTGACCATGGTTCCAGAGGGTGGTAATATTAGATGAACCTATTAGACTGGTACCATAGACTACAGGTCTAAGTCTTGTGAACTAATCAAACTTCAAAGGACACTATTTACTAATCAATGCTTCTATGATTCAGTGTTTGTAAAAAAATTCTTAACAAACAAATAAAACCTCTATGCATGTTGATAGATAGTTGAAGAACACTTTGGTAATAAAATATTGCCATAAAATCATGTTCTTAAGTTGTTCCAAAATTTGCTTTGCTCTTCCTAAGTATACACCTATATCAAAAAACCAAAAAACCTCATCGCCAAAGGTGATAGRCTTAAAGCAACAGGAGATAGGTCATTCAAGATCCAAGAATAGCTGGAATGACTAGTGTTTCTGCTTCTTATTCTCGTCAAGAACATGGACCTTAGTGTTGAGACTGATTCAATGTTCTTATATTCAACAAAACCATTTCAGTTGCCTATCACCTTTGATGATGTTTTTTGAAATAGATGTATATTGTGCAAGGGTGACCCTGCAACAGCGCCACCTCAAAGACTTGACACTGACCCTTTGAGCTCAATGTCTCTAAAATGACAAACGTCTAGAAAAATCTCTCCCCCCAGAAATTGATTCTTCAATACAATCTACCATATTATTATGCACAGAATTCCATTGAAAGCCAAAAATCAAGAAAAATGAGCCAAAAAAACCCATCAAATATACACTTAGTAAAGAGGGAAAAGTCTGGCATAATTTTCCTTTAAAAGTATATTTTCAAATCACATGAAATTTCAATCGATCTTATATTTGATACAAGCAGTTACAAAAGAATGGGGGAAGCTAGGGGGCATTTCGTTAAAGCTGATGATCACATCTCACTAACTATACTAATGGGTTACAGAACTGTGCATACTAGATTATTGGAACAAAATTATAGGCCATTTGCAGTAAATTATTACATTACTCTTACTGGATCRGGGGCAGCGGAAGCTAAAAATCTTTGGGGGGGCACTGAAGATTATATTTAACGCTATGTAATAATGACAATGTTTTGTTTGATTGCAGACGCATGAGCCGTAAAACAATGACTAAGAACCAACCTTTTTTTGGGTATGGCCTATTTTTTATTTGGTTTTGATGTTTTTATTGAGTGACCTACTGTAAGAGTATTTTTAACAATAAAATAAAAAAGTATAGATGCTTTGCACATTGATTCAGTAGGATTTTGGGTTTATTGACATGTCAATTAGTTGTTCATCATGGACTAAAGAACAGTTACTGTGCATGTATATAAGATTAGACCATATTAATCCAGACATGCTGGAGACAATATTGCTGGAAGGTGTCCAAGAGTTATCAGCTCCCTATTCTGCTTTTCTGACATCTTTTTGAAGCTCATAAATCTAAAAAATGGGAGCAAAAATACAAATTAGACTACATTGATAGAGAAAATGGAACTTTTTATCTTTATCCTACCTGTGGACAGTGCTTGATGTCAATTATTTTATTGAATGAGGCTAAAGAAAAACTTTTGCAGCAATGGATGATTGCTAATATATATATACTTAAATTGTTGTTTCAATAATCTTATGCACTAATGCTGCCTAATATAACTTGTTGCATGCAGTTATTTGTAATTATTGTATAACGAACAAATTGAAAAATATAGAAATTTGATCTACTAGCTTATTAGTCTACTAACAAAAATTTATTTTACAGTTTAATAAATAAAACTACTCTAAAACTCATAAACGTTATTTGATTATCACACCTGACAGTAGGAATCTGATAGGGTGATGGTTTGTGGAAGGATTTCCTTGACGTGCAGATCTTGCAACTCATACCACTTATTGGCACCCTAAATGTCAAGAAATGAAAAATACATCAAGTCATTGCGATAATCCCAATATATAGAGGATCATAAAAAATATGACATAATTATGGTATAATTATGGCAAGGGTAATTTATTGTACTGACACAGACATATTGATAAACATATAGAAATATTCTCCATTGAGAAATAAAACAACTTCTCATGCATTAAACATTGCAGAATACTTCCTGTCCAACAAAATGGCTACTCTAAATCTCTTTAATGTGTACATCAATTAAAATCTAACCAATATCATTATGCTTACTTTGTGCAGGACAAACAGTCGATATGTTCCACCCTCTGAAACAATGATAAATTATTCAAAAATTTAGTACAGCTTTACACAACAATTAAATTTTATTATTTACAGGCATCCCAGCCACTTTTTAGACAAATTTGATAGGAAATGTAGGCTGTGCAAGTTCTAAATATAGGAAAATATAGGAGTTTTTCCCAAAAATATATRCACTTTATAGGAGCTAAGATAGCTTTTCGGTGGCGTAACCAGGGATCGGCCATAAAAAAAAACAACCAAAAAATAAAGGGGCCATTTTATTTCTTTCGCCAAATATGCTAAACAGTGTAAGATATAAATGTATCACTCAGCAGTCGTCCTATTTATAGGAAATATAGGAGGTTTTCTTTAAATAAAGGCTCTTTATAGGATCCTATACAAATTATAGGATATATAGGATATATAGGAGGTCTGGGATGCCTGTATTTATTTCTATAACTTGTTGGAAATTAAGAAGTTAAGAAAATATATTCTCACAGGAATGGAGTGTGGAGTGCAATAAGTGGGTAAGAGAGGTCTAAGGGGATCATTATCACACTATCACACTTTTTTACATTAAGGTAATAAACTGCAGGCCCTTCAGTTAGCCTGCTTTGCCCACATCCCTGTTTTTTTGTTGTTTTTTTTCTAGCAGGGACTAATCACCCAACCCAATAACAACTACCCATAAAAGAGAACCATTCATGAAATGCATGCCTGAAATGCAGGGTAATTGGCCCGTAGCTCAACAAAACAGTTACAATACTTACCCCTAGTAATGGTTTATAAACTAAATGCAACAATGTATAATTGTAGGGTTCAATATTCAGAAGTTAGAAGCTGAGGTTGAAAGGAGTTGAAAGGTAGGATGAGAAATGTCAATATATCCTTTGATGTATTCATTTGAGATACACAGTTGATATGAAACATGTTTCAAAACAGCCTAAATGCTATGTCTCAGTGCAACAATTCCATTAGTTGTATCGATATATACATCAGATTCTAATGAACATACTTCCCATGCAACAATTCAGTCTCAGCTTCTATGTTTTTGAGCTTGACAATGATTTTGCAATTTAGTGTATCTTTTTTCTGTGACAAATACCTGGCTCTCCTTCATGGCAGATGTTGGCAACAAGGTCATATGTAGTGTGTGGATGAGCATCCTGGATCTTAGGATCAGTGGATAAATACTCGGCTAGATCAAGGCTCCTAGAAACCATCAAACAAACTTTTATGTAAAGCAGCTTGTGAAGTAGCCTGTGTGCATTCAAATGTAATGAGAGAAGTCTGACTCTACACAAGCTACTTATGAAGCTGAACTTGTAGCGCTCGAAGACAGTGCGGGGCGTCGTGATCTTGCGCCGAGTGTCAACCGTATGAGATTCGTAAACGAAACAGGCTCCAACTCCACTATTTATTTACTATAAATCACACGGTGAAAACTACAAGAAATATACAATTAATTACGATGATAAACTCAATAAACTGCTATAAGGAAATAAATAAAAGGGCTAAATAACAAGACACTTACATCTGATCTGCTCCTAGAACACGAGTTAAGAGAGGACGCTAAAGTATTAGATTACACCGGAAATACGTAGAACTAATATCTCATAAAGTACAAAATATCAAACACAACARAACTTAGTCAGGTTAGTGCAAACCTTGTTAGTAAATTTTGATCCAAAATTTACACCCAAGAAATACAGAGGTGCAGGCAGCAGTAGGTAAACTCAACATTCATTCACCACTTACTTGACTGGAAAGTTTACAACTGTTGGATTTTTCTCAGTAAAAAAAGTGTTCTTTGCAAATCTCTGTGGAGACATACATGAATAAATAACCCATTAAGGAAAAAGGAATTTTTTTACATATAAGATTCTTCGTAGTGTGAGTAAATTGAGTCTAAATGAGTAAAAATCATAGTTTTCTGACTAAGATCTGGGAGTTTTGACGAGTCGAACATTCTTGTTGTCGAGTCAAAATATCTCGTCCGCGTCTAAAGTTTTTGAGCTAGTCGTTTGCATGTTTCTCTCTAAACTTGAATCCCCTTTCATATTTATCTAAAAATTCTTCATAAAGTTTAGAAGATGTGAGTTTCTGATAAAGATTTTGAAAAAAATCATAGTTTTCTGACTAAGATCTGGTAGTTTGACGAGTCGATCATTCTTGTTGTCGATTGATGAGTTTTCAAGTCAATAATTTACGGAAAACTTGGTAACGTTTGGTCTGGTATCCTTGTATCTCAACATAGCAATAAATACTTATCTTTATAAGATCGTTTTGAACCTGTAATATCCTATATATATGATATATATTGAACGGTGTATGAGGTGTATCGAAACGGATATATGCCTGTCTCGAACTTGTATCTTAGTGTCTCGAAACGACCTGTCTCGAAACGACTGTGTCTCGAAATGACCGGATACCGGCCATAGGCCGAGTCCAATTTGGCAGTCAGAGGAATTTTTCGATTCTAATTATTTCTTGATTGGGGAGCATGAAATCCCATTACCTATTAATTATATAGCTGCCTAATTAATCCCATATCAACAAGACCTGTCCAATTAAGAAAATAATACCTATATGGGATTAATGAGAAGCTGTATAATTAGAGTGAATAAAAGTATTAAATAACTGACCCTAAAGCAAGTGATTAGGTACTGAGGAAGTTTTGTAATCTCAAACTTCTTGATGAATAATTCTTTGTAGGTTTTATATTCCTGTTAAGATAAAAAAGAGATGTTAATTAATGCATGTGATAGAGTTTTTAACAAAGCATTTCCAACACAAAATATTTATTGTCTTATTGACTAGTACAAACCTTTTCAGTTGTTCCATCAAACTTGGACAAAAGTGAAAAAATGGAAATCTAAAAAAAGTGGAAATAAAAGATATAAATCAATTATTCAAAGTATGGGAAAAATGCCAAGTGTTTATATGTTAATTAATGAATTCACCACCCTGTACCTACAGGGAAAGTGGTTTGTGGGGTTATAAATGACATGTGCATTATTCTAGAATGTGGACACTAATCTTGATGTCTGACTGTCCCAGGGGGAGAGGGTGTGGGTATTAATCTAGAATGTGGACACTAATCGTGATGTCTGACTGTTCCAGGGGGAGAGGGTGTGGGTATTAATCTAGAATGTGGACACTAATCTTGATATCTGACTGACTTACCTGAGGAATAATGTTCTGTTGCAGTTCATCCTGTGGAGTAATAGTAATATAATATAAATATCAATAATAACAATACTAATACATAATATTTCATGATGATAATGATGATGATGATGATGATGGTGATGATAATAATAGTGATAATATTTATATTCAAAAAAACTAATGAATAATTCATAAAGGAAACAATAAAAATCATGACCATGAAGGAGGTTTTATATCTGATATAGATTCGTCTTCATTTGCATAAACTTTAACTTGGATTTTCTCTATCAAACTTGGTTCATTTCGTAAAGAAATCAGTACAATATGAGAACATACATCATGAGTTTTTCAAGCCGTTTAATCAACTCACAGATTGAGTTTTATCGGGTCTAAAACCACTCGCCTGCGACTTGTGTTTTATACCTGATAAAAAACTCCTCGTTTATTAAACAGTACATAATAATAATAATAATAATAATGATGATGATGATGATGATGATGATGATGATGATAATTTTTTATCCTGATAAAAAAATGATCAGCCGAACATAAGAACGGCTCATAAAAACCAGTGATCAGCAATATAAAATCTATGAAAATCTAAATAAAATCTAATATTAAAATCTGCGATTAAGAACCTAAAAAGGATAAATATAAGGAATTAGAAAATTAAGCATAATATATACATTTAAAACACTCATTAATAATTCATAAGCTTATGGTCCAATTGGAGCCACCATACACGTCACATGCATGAACCTTTATACCCGATAAAGTCCTCTTCATTAGTATTCAAGTGATTTTATTTAAAGACACATGTGTCTTTATATAAAGACAAATGTGATCTTTATATAAAGACCACTCGAATGCTATGGGGTAATCCACAATGGGCAGAACGAAGCCTGTGAGTGGATGAACAAACAATGAATGGTGAGATAAAACAAAGAACGCAGCTCACATGTAGGACAATACACATTGTTCACCATAATCCATGCTTTCTTTGTTTTTGTTATTTTATCCAATCCCAAGCTTCGTTCTACCAGTGGACACTGACCCATACTATGAGGATGACTTCATCAGGGATGAAGTATGCATCCAAGTTTRGATGAAGACATAGARCTTCATCAAGGTCATAGTCAACCCTAATGATCTTTGACTAACGTGCCTGTCTTTGCCTTGGCATGCAATATCCAACGTGTGGGAGCTTCTATTGAATCTGGTTGCGCATGCCCGTGACGTCAAATCTCTATCGAAGTATAAAAATCCATGTTCGTGACGTGTATGGTGGCTCCAGTTGAACCAAAATCTTATAAATTGTTCATGAGTGTTTTAAGCAGTTCAAAAAACTCATAGATCATGTTTTAAACACTACATATACACTGAGGCATGGCACGCACAAGACATGTACATATCCATTGCATATCCATTGTGGATTTCAGGGAGGTTCTACATAACATAAAGAAATAAACTAACTCCAATAATATTTATACAAAATATATTAAGCACTTACTTGAGCAACCAAAGTTATTCATAAACATTTCCATTGCGACAATATGTAGAACATGTTTAATAAGCAGAGTTCTTTCCATACCTTAAAAAGAGGAGAAGCTGGTATATCCAAGTTCAGATACAGAAATGGTGATTCTGTAACTTTCTCTAGAGAAACAAACAACAAAGAATTGAGTAGGGTGTTAACATTTGCATACTAGATGACTTCTTGATTAGCACACTAAACCCTAGATCAAGTCTAAAATATATAACAAAATATAAACTGATCAACATATCTTACCCTGATATTCCTCTTCACCCATTTGTTTAGCCTTCTCTTCTTCATTCTGTTGACAGCAAAAAATATGAGTTTTTTCTTAAAAGAAACTTTAAGGTATCATTTTTAGGCATAACTTTACCTGAACAATGTTCATCATACAAAAGGGAAAAGCATCTAAAATATGGGTAGATTACCTCTGTTTGTGGAACTTTTCTGGAAAATATTTTCATCCGGCCTTGAAATGACTTAAATATCACACCTTGAAGTCATTCAAAAAATAATTGAACTTAATCATGACGATCAGAAAATTTTTGATTTAATCATAATTACTTTGACAAAGTGGTAGCCATCTTAAATCAAAAGCCAATTATTATTATGGGTCGTTTTAGGGGGCAAATAGACAAGGCTTCGTTACGATAATGGCTTAAATAATCATTGACATTTACGTTTTACAAAAAGACAATTTGACAACAGATGAATTAAAATAAAAGGACAGTACTACAGCTGAGGAAATTTCTCAAATATCTTGGTATTGTTATGGATATCAGCAGCTTTGTTTTGTTATTTACCCTGGGCAACTCATAATGCCTTGCAATTCAAGATAGCCCTGCATTGTCAAAGTAGTCTATGTCAAATATCTCTGTCAATGTTATTGTTTATTACTCACTGTTTGTCTTTTTCAAGGATCCTCCTAGTGTTGTGTGTAGTGCATTTAGAAACCATGAAAGGAAGTCAACAGGATCACCTTGCTCAGTAAACTGGAATCTCTTCTTGCTGCACAAAACAACAGCCTATGGAAAAAGATTAATCTAGTTCAATGTTAGATATGATACTGACTTGCAGCAGAAACTCATATCTGTATTAAATCAATTAAGTGGTCAGGAGTAAAAAGACACTATAAGTACACATCCAAGCAGCAATCAAAGTAAACAAATTGAGTAAACACCTAGAAAGCTGTGATACTGATCGAGGATCGTGGGAAACAATCCATAACAAACAAGTAAAGCTTTCGATACAAACTGCAGCTTGAGGATGCTCAGAAGAGGTTCAACTGCATGTATTTGGTAAAAGATCTCAATTCCATCAACAGTTATATCAAGCGGTTAAAAAATGTTAAATGTCTCTGATCCACCCATAATCCTTGTTGGTCTCAACTTTGTAGCTTTTCAAGGGACCAACTTTATTGAAATAAGTATAAACAAATCATTTAGTCAGTTAGTGAGCATCAATCAACTGTCCAACTGAATGTTTAACCAACCATTGCATCAAAGTTATCTGTAAACTGATAAATATTGCTAAGAACAACAGTACCTGAAGCATTTCATGAGGACTAACATGTGCCTTGAAGTTTCTTGGATTCCATATTTTTCTTATCAACTCTCCATATCTTTGAACTGGAACAAGCAAATTCACTATGTTAAGGAACAAGCCCTCTCCTTATTGCTGCAGGTGTTTTTTTTATTCTTGTTTAGCCTTACCTAGTTGAAACATGATATCTCCAGGAGGTCTCTTGATATCTTTGTAGTTTTCTTCTCTCAAAAAGAAGTTTCGGATTGGTGGAACAAAAGCAAAAGCCTGCAGGTTTAGAAATAATATTTAAAAATATAATTCATTTAAGAAATTGGTAACAAAATTTGCTTTATTGAATCTAAATATGGCAACCAATTTGATTAGCAACTGACTATCCTGGTGTTCATGTGGAAACATAAAAGCATTTTTACATGAACAGAACAAGTGCAGAACAATAGTTATTCAAATTGGTTGCCATATTTCGACTGGGTGTATAATCAAACTGCATAAGTATGTTTTATAAAGGCATAGTTACTCACTTGGAGAACAACATTTAGATAGTCATTGGCTTTGATATTATTCAAGCCAACAATACCTAAAGTGAATGAAGGAAAAATGAGATGAACAAATATTAATTCTAATATTTTTACATAGAGTAATTATCAGCAACACACTAATTTCAAAAGAAAAAATCCATACAGCAGTGAATGGACCCTTCATAAATTGTCTTGAATGTAAGGTTAGCATGAAAATACAAAAGAAATGCCACAAATTCCATAAAGAAAAACTTATTTCTTTTGTATTTCCATGTTAGCTTTGTATCTGTGATCCTTTTAAGAAGGGGCTATTAGCTGATGAGGAAAAAAATATACCAGGTAGATATGTAGTGCCATCAAAGGCTCTGGATAACTTGGCTGATGAATCCATTTGTTTGATGTCTTCTTCTGTGAATGTTGGATTCAGTACATACTGCCAAATAATCATAAGTTGATATAATGAATAAGTAAAACAATAGAGGAAAAGATGAAAGACAGATTTATTGAACAACAAAAATTTATAATAAAATTGACGTTTTGACATATTAGAATTTCATTATATCAAGCACACTTAGCTTTGTCACCTTAACTGCGCTCATTCCTTTCTGGGACTATATTGAGCAAGGTATTTCCATTCAATTGTACTTAATTATGATGACATTTGACATGTTGAAACATACATACAATTTTATGTCTATTTTTTTGTCATTCAATGTTTTCCACAATCTCTGCTTGTAAGACTAAGTTATGACTAAGTTATGCCCTCTTTTACTCTGACGAAGGACTAGCGACCGAAACGTCAGTAACATCATCTTTTCACGGTGTATAATTTACCCTTTTATCATTACTGTTTCATTATAAACACTGACGCAGCTCACACTATATACAGCTCACCCCTATAATTTACCTTTTCATCATTACTAGTTTTTAGCTAGTTATCTCTTCTAAGTTAACATGAGATGTTCATGATCTATTATTTTGGGCACTTAATATAGCATCACCAAAAGTGTGTTGCCAAAGTCCTTTTATTTGAGGAATGTATATGTGTGTATTTTATTATATGATAAAATGGTTTATCCAGTGACATTGCAAAATAATAATTATTACTTTAAAACAAGAGGCTTCAATACATGTATGGATAAACTGCATATAGCAAAATGAATGAATACATTACCTTGATATCATCCAAGGAAGAATCAATTACTTCGTAATTATCAGGCAGACAGTAGAACTAAAAAAGGATAAATAATGACAATAATATTAGTCAACATTTATTTTATATTTTCTTCATAACTTCATTCAATACTGATTACATACTTCAATCCTAAAACAGTCTCTAGGCTGATTAAAGTCAGATTAGAACATGGCTATTGCACAGATCTAATTGGAATTTATTGTCAAAGGGAGGAAAACTGGAAAACCCAAGAAAAATACTCAAACATAGGCAGAGACCTAATGAACTCTACTTACATGTGATGTCAAGTTCAGAGATCAAACCCAAGACCCCAAAAAGGTGAGTGCTCTACTGAACAACACCTTTGATTCCTGCTATTTACAGTGAAATACAGACCTTTAGTGAATGCAGATTAAGAAAAACATGGTGATCCACCAGAACACTGTGAGTATATGCATGGGAGTGCCGTCCACGACCTAAAAAAAAAGATTTAGTCTTAGACTTGCATTAGTACCATTTACAAGCAAAGTGTATTCAAAATAAAGGCAATCTAAATAATTATGATAGTGAGCTATAATAAATTTGCAAGATTACCTTGAAAATACCTTCCACAGACCAAACATGCATAGACATTGATATGTGATAAGGATATTGAGCATAGCTTCTCAAAGTCAAAGTCAAGAACATGTCTGCAACAGTTATGGAAAGATAAATTTCAATCATTAGAATGATTTATCCAGCTACAGTATTTATTATTTATTAACCTTTGACCTTATAACGCTAGTTGCTGTGACATAAGCTATTGTTATTAATATGCCAACCAGATATATATTTGCGGATGAAATGAAGCAGCTTGGCAAGAACTATTGTGATAATGTTAATGTTTATAAATGCCAACTAGTGCTATAACTACCACTACTTCATTGCATTCTTCACATAGTTACGTTACCTGTTAATAGTATCCAGGTAAGGACAATGTCTACTCTGATATTCCTTCTTTTCTACAATAATATGATAAACATGTCTTATAAGATGGTTGTGTCTAGATGGGATACAGATTGCAGTCCAGGTGATTGAGAGAGACTAGGGACAGTATAATTGTCAGGGGAATTTTATTCAGTTGGCTAGTAGTTGTACCCCACGATAGCATAAATTAAGCTATAATAAGTATTTATGTATTTAAATAAAAAATGAGACCACCCAAGCGAATTCGCTTTGGTGTCTAGTGGTTAGGGGTTAGGGTTTCGATTCTTGGTGTCTTCACTTAATTTTGTTTCTAAGTGAAGAAAACCAAAAAGTCCCACTTGTGTGTCCTGAAACCTATGACATACTTCGTTAACCCTAGTCTCTCTCAATCACCTGGACTGGGAGCATCCAATCTAGACACAACCTAATAAGACTGGATGGAAAATGTAAAAATATATTTTTATTTGGGCTACCTGTGCCATAAATACCACAGGTAGCCCTTTTGATTTATAATATTTTGAAAATAAATAAAAAGGTCTTAAAAGTACCACTAATCTGGTTTTATACTAATTTTTATCGTTTAAAAACTACCTATTAAATGAGAGTTTACAGAATAAAGCATGCAGAAGAGAACAAAAAATGGAAGGATTATTCAAATATAAGTTAACCCAAATAAAGGCAAACAAATTGCAATTCCAGAAAAATCGTAAATTGAGAAATATCAATTCTTAAATATGTAATGCCAAATTCAAACTCTTGTAAAACTTAGATTAAAAAACTGTCTTACAATATCTACAAAGCAAACTCACATTATTTGCGAGGGAAGTTTGGAGTTCGTTTATAAGACATATTTCATGGTTTTGATCTAAACAAAGATTAAACAAAGCTAGAAATAATATACCTATAACTCTCTTTTTCTCTTCTTCGTCATCATCATCGCTGTAATCTTCTACTAAAGGTCTTTTTGATCCACGTTTCTCTGCCTTTTCCGACTCCGTGTTTTCCGCCATCTTGGAATTGGTTACTAGTATCCAGGCTCGCTCTGATTAACTGTACGCGCAGGAAAATCATACTCACAAATACTTACAGCTGTCAAACAGCTGCAATACATATTCAAACATTGTCTAAAACCATTTTCTAACTTCTAGAACAAGCGAACGTTCACGTCACTAGCTTAATAATTCCCTTTCGGGCKGGGGRGGGGGTGGGGTACTCCTAAATATAACGAAGGSAGAGGATGATTKTTKTTWTTTYTTTTTTTTTTTTTTTTTTKTTCTAAAAAAAAAATCAGTTAGGTTTAAAAAAGGACACGTGCGGTGTGCACGTAAATGATACACGATTGGTGGCCCCAAACATTGATAACTATAAACCGGATATCAGTCTTATCAGTTAGTACGTTGCAATAAACTCAGTGACTTTTGTTTTAAATGATTAATCTTGTGTTTCAAGATGGTATCTTTTASGGCTAAAATTTTTAAACCACGGACCAAGCTTAACTCTACTCTATTTTTAAGAACTAATTTTTCCCGAAGATTATCCCACCGCCCTTTTTTCATAAGTTAGGTTATATTCCCCTTATTTGTCTCTTTCTTGCTCTTTCACTCTTACATTCAATGATTTATACAACAAACAAACTCGATAAGGATTAAATGTATTTATTACAACAACTAGAACACTATATTATTATAAATATATACTTTAAAATTTAAATATTATAATTAAATGAAATAAATTACCTACATATATTTACAATAATCGTCTATTTTCTCACTATTTCAATCATTTTTACAATAGTATATACAAAATATCCACTAGTTTTATCCCTTAGATTTCTTAGATGTTTCTTTTAGACTGTTTTCTTTTAGACTGCTGTCTTGAAAATTTTTTTGGTCTTCGTTTGACTAGTTTTGATAACTTGTGCTTTCCACTCTCGATGCGTGCTGAATGAACAGCCATACACTGACAGATCCACGTCAGATGATTGACAGCAAGAGTACCGCCAAGACTGTCGGGAATGCACGTGACTGGTAACCGTTCTTTCAGGACATTTGCTGAGACAGTCTGGGCGTTCAAGTCACGAAGAAGCCCTGGTTCAAGGAGTCTCATTCTGGCGGCTAACCAGAAAGGAGGGGATATCAAAAAGACTTTCTTGAGGACAACAGGGAACGCTTCCTGGAGAGTTAAAACATACAATACTTTATTCATATGATTTGTACTCATTTTCATTATTGCGCAACAACGTCAAATCCAGGACCAACACTTGTGTTGTTAATCACATTGAAATATAGTCTCGAAATATAATTATACTCTGTCCTTCAATTACAAATATTTTACTACTTCTTGTATCTTATCTGAGAGTGCTATCATCAAATATACATTAAATGTTTGATTGCATGGGATTCATTCCGATGAAAGTCGGCAATCAGTCATACCGGCGAAGTGCACTATACTATGTACTAACGATGTACTTAGTGTTCAATTGAGTACTCATACCTTGAACAGGGTTAAGATCTTCGCGCATAGTTTGATATCACAGCTTTTGAAGGTAACTTGACTAAAGTCATACAGAAGTACAAGCCCATTTTTCTGCATCTCAGGACTGGTAAATAATAAAATATTGACATACTGTGAGATTCATCAAATCAATATAYATATGTACAAATGAACACTTACGTTGGATAAAGTTGCAGCTGGGTTTGGCGACGTGAGTTGGTAATCCAACTCGGTTGGTATTTTTTTCGTTTATTTTAATCTTCAATAAGTGATATATTGGCGACGACTTATGGTTGACAAAATTGGAAAAGTCAAAACAAGGAAACCTTATAGCCACAAAAGGCCGGTGATGATTACCAAGCAAGACATACCTTTTGATTGCCTCATCCATCTGGAAGTAGATATTATTGATTATGGTATTGTGGTCAGTATGATGACTCAATCGTTTAGCAGACAAGTACACAACTCCTGCGCCATCTTGGTCACTTGTGTTCTGCATGAATCAGACGACATCGAGTTAGTTACTAAGGATGCGCTTGAGGGCGTGACTCTAATTTGAATTATTGTTTGTCTTATGTTAGTACACTTATCACRAGGGAAACATTAATTTATTTTTATCACTTCCTACCAAGACAGTGAATCTGCCACTGTAGATCTCTTCTTGTAAAGGATTCTTGAAGGGTGACATGTTTTCCATACGGTACAGCTTTCTCTGAGACTACAGGATTAAAATGAAAATTGAATAGCAAATTAAAATCAATGCAAGCTGGTGTACGCATGTATCCCAACGAACATAAGTACCATGAAAGGAAATTATAGAACCAGCTAGCTAAGAGAATCCGGAATCATAAGGCGTCCAAAATCCCGGCTTTCAAACCACGAACCAAGGAATGGAATAGGGGAAAAGTCTATCAATGATATGTTTCATGCAAAAGTATTTTCGAACAGGATTGACCAGGGGTGGACCCAGGAATTTTAGAAGAGAGGGAGGGGGGGGGGTTTGACTATTACAAAGCTTATACCAGGAACGCGAGGAAAGGGGGGTGACTGTTAATAAAGATATACTGAGAATTTTAGCAATAGGGGGGTGACTAGTCACCTACAGTCAATTCAAAAAATGTTGTCGTCGACCAACTCAAGCCTACGCGACTGGACCGAAAGGAGCTCTGGGTAGTAATCATTGAAGCCGAGTTGACTCCATAATTTTACGGACTAGTTATGCCTGGTTTACAGCACGAACCTTCGTAGGCAAGCGGGAAGTGTTGAAGGATACGTTTTTTTAATGCCTTCATATTTTCGGAATTGTGAACTGAATCATAATTACTTTGTTTTTCTTTCCCTAAACCTGAAGACATGATGGATTGTTTCTCGCCATTATTATCTTATTACTAGCGGGAACGATTAATTCAGAACGAATATTTGACCGCTTCAGTGGTTTTTACCCATATTCCTTTCGGTCCAGTCGCGTAGGCTTGAGCCGGTCGACGACAACGTTTTTTGAATTGACTGTATATTACCACCTATATTAACCCTGGATCCGCCACTGTTGACTGATGTAAGCCTCATTTACCTGGTACTTGTTGTACAATGACACAGTTTTCTCAACATCAAAATCTCTTGCCATCAGGAACTTGGTGGCAGCAGCTGCACTCATGGGAGCGAGGCCAGTGCTTTGACAGATCGCGTTGATTTCCATTAATGCAGTTTGAATGATCTGTTGTTGAAGCACAAGAGTGAAGGTCACTAACGATAAACGAATCGCCCAGTAATCAGTAATGCCAAAAATAACTTCAGTAATCTTCAAAAATTAGCTTGTTCTTCGACTATTATACCTGTGGTGTGAAAGATCATCAATGAATTCCTCCTCAGCCCCCAAGATCCTCCGCGCTCCTCATCTACACAGGCTATATGAGGTCACGTGATCTTTTCCTTAATCATGATTGGCAAGCGTAAACAATGATAATTTCGAGCTCATTACGCGCAAGAATATTTTGCTTGTCTCGATCAATTGTTCGTTAAAATTGAGTAAATACGAAATGAGTAATTGATATGTTTATCGTTTATTTTACCATTCTTTGATGTTCCTCTTGTTGTTCAAAAGCATTGTTGTTTTCTTGGTCAAGTTGGACGTCATACGGGGTATTCATGCCGATGAACAGGATGTCTGATGGGCTACCTGTGTACACTGGATGATCGACGTCTGTACGTTCCTTTGTTAATGATGCTGCAGTCTTACGAGCAACAACTGAGCTGAATGATCTCTCCTCTATTTTAAACAACAACAAAATAGTTCATGTCAGAAAAGAATAAACTAATACATGACAATAATTGACCCCTTTGACTTGCATCGGTGTTAGCCTGAGTCCTACACATATTACTGGTCGTTTTTAGGTAATCATTTTGGGAATGACACGCGTATACATTGTAAGACGGGGACATATTAAGCTTAACAAAAAGGGTTTATAGTAAATGGAGGTGGGGGATACGAGAATCTGATCTCTTCCTGTTCTGATGCCATCTGGTTAGCAAGTGGGACACGGAGGCTTTGCTTGTCAGGAACGAACGACGACTCAGCCTGATGTAGCGAGTATTGTGTTTCATGATCATCTCAGTTATCAGTCAAGTGGCTTTGAAGCTTAGAATAACCCTGTTTCCCCATACTCATTATTTATGGTATGACTGAGAAATACGAACTATCTTTCCAACATGCATTACTGTTAACTCTAGTTCAAAGTTTAATAACTTACCAATGAACTGTTTGACAGAAGAAACCAAGTCTGATGTTATTTTAATGTTTTCCACRTTGTTTCTCACTTGTCCAACCTTTCTGTAGATACAGTTTTTCCACGTATTGACAGATGGTTGGGATAATCGACCAGGAACAGCGATGGATGGCTCTAATGTTACTGCGTTGTACGTAACGGGTTGATAGGCTGGAGTAATCGGCTCAAATCTGAAAGGCTTGGCTGACATCTTTACACAGGAGGTTCTCTCGACTACCTGTAATGGATAAAGAACATTTATCAGTTTCTTGTTGGGAGACCATACTCTCGTTGTAGCTGGTACACATGGCTTTGTTAGTCTCTACACTAGTCCGATTACATCTGATTCATACAAGAGCTATGATAGTTGGCTATATTTTTAAATGAAATATAGTTATCAATCAAAGATCTATTGTTATATTGGATAGGGAATAACTTGTCAGAAAAGAATTGTCAACTGCTAAACTTTGTCCGTGTATTTTCCTCCTCAAAGCAGTAATTTTCTTTATCACAAAAGTCGCTCAAAATTAGGAAAATTAATAGTACGTTTCCCAGCATGCAGCGTGTTTTCTCTGAAGTGCGCGCGCTAGTGACGTCACAATCAACCTTGCCCGCGATGAAAAAGTTTTTTTTTTTGCAAAATAAAAAAAGTTCAGTAGCGGTAGAAAGAAAACCGGCTACAATCAAATCATCAGTCTATTAAATTCGCTCGCACAAGCTATGAATTTTTTTTTTTTTTTTTTTTTCCCCAACCAAAAATAAGAAAAATTGGATCAAAACAAACTTTCCTTTTAGGCCATCGAGACGGAAACGAATTCTTGAAAGTATCAAAATGTTAAATGTGATAAAATAGATGAAAAACAAACCTTACCTCGATATTCTGCTGTTTCTTATCTCGAAAATGACTATGTTGGAGTTGACTTTGAATGCAATCCATGTTTCGTTAAAGAAAATTTGATGTCAGCGATAAATTACTGCGCTTTTAAGAAATTTTCACGGAGCAAAAGTCGCACCTCTGAACGCAAGGGAAAAAAGTACTTTGTGGGGAAACGCGCGCTATGATGTAATAATTAATACTAAAGCTTTTGAGGGAAATGCTCGCTGCACTATGGTATCGCGGGCACCTTGATTGTTAAACTAACATTTTGATTGGCTGGAAAAAGAAAGAAAAAAGAAAAAAGGGAAGATATGATATGTGAACTTTTATTGAACTGTTAATAATATGACTTTAATAAATGTTCTTAAAAGGCATTCCAAATACTTTTGTTTCATCATCTACAAATTAAGCACCTTTATATCTGGCAACACTTCTGAAACAGGCCCCATGATAAAAAGATAGCTAAATCAAATTTAACTACTATCTCAATCCAGAACACCCCATGCTGAATTCCAGCCGGAACCTGCTTTTCAGACCTTTTTTTTTTTTTTTTTCTTTTAACGCTCGGAGGCCTAATCCACGGTTTTCCATTTCCAAGACCACGTGTCATTCCCTAGAGTATAATTTCTTTGTTTAATGGTTGCGCATGAGAAGACACATGAATATGGATACAACTCAAACAAGGAATCTTTTATTCTCATCTCCTAGCATAAAAAAATCGAGTCTGCAAAGCAGGCTATCCAGCTCCATTCATTATGGTCAAGTGGTATATTGAAGATATCTTGAAGATTGGTTTAAGGATTTTTCAAAAGCCAAGACAAGGAAGCCATTTCAACACTTTTCAAGGTTACAGCAAATTGCGTTATATCGTATAGATAAACAACACTTTCCTTTACTTTCTTTTCTGTGAAAAAATCCACAACAACCAAAGAAACCGGAAAAGAAAACGTTAAACAACTTCATCAAATACCGCTGTGTTCCTTGATTGTTGTCTTATTTACTCAGGGTTACCCTCATTTACCAACAGTAAAGAATTCACAACTTAAACGATCGATACAGAGTATAGAGTATAAAGATATAGAGTGAAGGCATTTTACCCATGAAATATTTATTAGACTAATACACTTTAGTAGACCTTAAATCTTTGTTTTCTTTTGTCTATTTGACTATTACACGTCGACTAAAAGTTTTTTCATTTCACGGGCTAAATGCCTTCACTCTAACATCCTATCTTTTATAGTGACAGAATACCGACTTTAACATAAACAAATTGGACTAAAGATATGTAGAATAACTTTTTGCTCAACCAAAATAAAAAATTAGATAAAAGTTTACCTGAACTACGACTTTGGCACTTAACCGAGATCCCTAGCCTGCATGCAGATGAACGTAACTGCAGTTAACCAGAGTTAAAGTCAGTCTGCACGCAGGCTACCAGATCCCTAATTCCCCCAAAAACACATTACAAGCTTTCTTGTCTACTGTGTTTAAACATTAATACTGATGTTTTCCTTTTGCAAGTCATTTGGTATGGTGTTCTGCCTTTCTTGACTTTTGATCTTTGGTTTGAACTCACTAGACCTAGTAGACCTTGCCTCCTCTAGTTTCCTGTCTCTGTCTGCATTCTTCAGCATCTCTATTTGTTCTTGGAGAAATCTAGCAACATTTTCATGTTCAAATGACTTTGCAAAGTCAAGCGCTGTTTTCCCATAATCACTTTTCTGATTCACATTTGCACCTTTCTTGACCAGCAACTTAACAAGAGCTTCAAAGCCATTCAGTGCTGCATTCATTAGTACTGTCTTGTCTTCTTTGTCCATGCTATTGACATTTGCACCATGGTGAATAAGGATCTTTGCAACATTAGCATTTCCGTTAACTGCTGCTACACGCATCAGTGGGGTCCATCCTATTATGACAAGATACATTTGAGACAAAAGTTGGRAAAAAAACAACTGACATACTTCAAGATCATTACATTTCAATAATTATAAAATAACTTTTGTAAATCTTGCATTGATTAATTGGGAGCAGGTGCTTTATGAGAGCAAATAGCTCGCACGCCCACTTTCAGTTGCATCACTTCCATCTAAAATAACTGTTGTTGTAATTTGTATTTCATAAACGAAATAAAAAACTTGCTTGCTGTACTATGTGGAGTTATAAAGCATGTGGGTGTTGACAAAACACTCAAGAAGTTCTCTCATGTTCTGCCAACCCCTGTGTTATTTATATCTGCACACAGCACACACACACATTTTCTATATCAGCCTTCAATATTACATGGCTAGGATGGTTTAGATGACTAGGATGCATGGGGCTCTAAAACCAAGGTTGGTGTTTCTTTTTTGAGGATATTGGACTGCTTATACTGTATTGGTGATGATGGTAAGTTGTAGGCAGTAGAATGTTCATAGGAGCTAGGTAAATGCTAAGGTACTGGTTTAGTTGATTGGGAAAAACTATGAGTGAGTGGTGGTAAAGTGTTGGCAGGATAATAGCAATGTGTTGGCCTGTTACTCAATACCTGATGTACTGTCTTTAACATCAACAGGACAACCATCAGACAACATCCATCTAACAACATCTAGGTTAGCCCCATCTACTGCCCAGTGCAAAGCCATAGATCCTGTCTTGTCTACAGTATCCCATGAAGCACCTTCTGCTCTGAGTAACTTGGCTACTTCAAGCTGACCTGATCATTAAACACCAGAATTTAAAATCATAATTAACAGTAAAACCAAGACTGTGTTATTTTTATCCTGGAAGATGACAGGAAATCCCAAGGGAAAGGAGAAAGGATGAATAGTATGAATTAGTGCCCATATCTAGTATCCATTAAAGTGCAAATGAACCCTTYGACAATACWTTCAGTACTGGTTCTGCATAAAGTAAATAGTTGAWTGGTAAAATATTTCTTGATTTGAGTGATGCGTCTCTAAGTTATGAAGGTTTATACTTCCAATATGTTAATGATGATGACGTCAGGTAAGGTATTTGAGTGTTTTTGTTGTAACTAATAATACTAAATGCTGGCCAATTTGAACATAAAAATTGTAAATAGCTTTCATGTAAACCATGAGTAAAATAATGATGCTTTTTAAATACTGTTTCTATGAACCAGTTCGATTTTGTATATTTGATTAAGCCTTAATAGACGTCACACTCATTAGCATATTGGAAGTATAAACCTTCATAACTTAGAAACGCATCACTCAAATCAAGAAATATTTTACCATTCAAATATTTACTTCGTGTAGAATCAGTACTGAAAGTATTGTCGAAGGGTTCATTTGCACTTTAAACTGATAGAAGGACAGGAAATGGAATTGGTGGGGCTCTCAGCTGAAGACGGTATAAGTTGTGCTGTTCCAGAAAAGATTTACTTCCCAACATTGGGAATTGGAATTAAAGGTTAGTGAGGGTTTGAGGGAGGTATATACTATCACTTTTAGAGAAACATGTCCTGAGCCAAGGCAAGGGAAGCCCAAAAACATTTCTCTTTAGGGGAGTTATTCCTATTTAGATAGATCCCAATTTATTATTTTTCCAAAGCTAAGTGTAGTCCTGACACATGTTTCAGGGTTCAATCATTTATTATCATAGAATGTTGGAACTCACCAGAGAAACATGCCATCATGAGAGCAGTTTTACCACTGCTGTTTTGAAAATGAACATCAGCTTTGTTGTCTATCAGAGTCTTGGCTACTTCCTTGTACCCTTTCTGGGCTGTTGAACAAAATAATATAAAACAAGTAATCACTAGTATGGTTCCAAGATTCAGCTTAGAGCAGTTTTCTCTCGCAATGTGATTGGTCTGACAGTGCCGTGCACTTTGGGTAACCATGTAGGCGCCGTGTTCATGCTGTGTTTCAGTCATTTGATTTGATAAAGAGTAAAGTCTTTAGCAATGTGATTGGTCTGGCAAATCCCTTGCCGTGTCACGACCGTGTTTGTGCTGCGAGCTTTTCACAGTCATACGAAAACTGCTCTAAGACATATCTTACTAGTACTTGTTAGGGAAGCTTTTTATTCAATTTTTATAGTCCAAAACGTCCACCCACTGTGTTGTAATACAGTAACTTTTCATCTCTTTTTCATTTTGTTTTAAAGCAGGGAAAGGATTATTTAATTAAGTAGGACATGGAACTATTCCATTTTAGTATAATTATAGACTTGAATATAGAGTTTCTCAGGTTTTGATTGGTCAAGTGACTAGTGATTTTTGAGACGATAATCACTGCTTGAGTGGTGATGATGAGAACTTTTTTTATCCMGAGTTTTGTCTTTTCTCTGATATCAAAATCTAAAACTATACTAAAATTATACTATTATACTAAAACAATATATAATTCACCTCAAGCTTAGTTCTTATGGTGAATATTTGACTTGCCGCTCAAAGACTTCCTGCTCAGTAAATATTCACCGATAATCACTTCAGCAAACAATTTGTTAAATAATAAACCTAAATGAATTGAAATATTGTTGTTTTCTTATTAATTTATTTTGACTAATCACTTGAAAGAATTGGATGGTGGTGGGGTGTGGGTTAGTTTGCCATCTATATAATATATTATGCTTCCAGTCAACCTGACACTGGGCCAGAGATTTCAAAAGGACAAGATCTACTTACCAGCAACCATTAATGGTGATATTCCAAACTTGTCAGGAGAATCAACTGCTTGCCAACTCAATGCTACAAGTAAAGGTACACTTATCAGGCCTGCAATAATAATTATATGCTCTTGGTAGGTCAGCAGTGTATGTTTTAGTACTTTCTCAATGAGTAATATTATTATAATCAACTTTCTAGGGAAGTGGGAGGTCTTAATGCAGGCCCTAATTTCAGCAAGATCAAGAAAGTACAAATTCCATTAACATGTTGATTGAGATCAGTTTTTAACTCGTGGAGATGCAATTAAGTGTTATAAATATCCTCTAGAACTGTTTGGTACAATTTGTTGACATTTTCTAGTACATACTTGGAATGATATTAGCTACAGTCTCTACATCATTCTTAGCTACGGCTTTCTGTAAATCTTCACTAGTCTTTGGCTTAGCTGTTGTCGACACCATTACCACCACACTCCATGCACTGTTCCCATTGTCATTCATGCACCTTATTCTATATCTGTACTGTGTCCTTGGCTCCAGACCTTCAAAGACATTACTGGTAGAATAACCAGAGTAAACATTCCCAAACCCTTTACTTTTGTTTCCTACTTCCTCTTCCTGGATGCAGTATCTTAGACGGCTGTCACCTTTCTCTGGGGAGCCTTTTTCAGGGGGGTTCCAGTATAGTTCAATGGAGTTGTGAGTGACTTTGCCAACAATGGGAGGGTCAGGTCTGAGAGGAACAGACATTCTGAAAAAGATATTCCAAAATTATCATTCAATTCTTACAATAACTTCAAAAGCTTAGGATTCAAAAAACCCTTTTAACTGCACCTAACAGACTATTTGCCAGTAGACCTCAGAAAAAACATAAAAATGTCAACAACATGCCATAAAAACACATGGTAAGCAAGTACAGCTATTTGCAATAGAGTGTGCACCATATTGCACTTTTTTCATCTTTGAGCATAGTTAATCGATTTACTATGCTTTGAGTCTACTTTGAAGTAACAGTGTTGAATTCTACCATGAATTCAAAGCTAAATTCTGTAGCCGCCCTACACCAGGAATATATGCACGGAACTTCAGGAATATAAAGTCAAACCACCAAAAATGTGATGGTTGCTCCTAAAAATGTCAAAATTTTCCTGTAGAAGCCTGTTGTTCAGATGTTAGAAATACACCATTGTCACGCCACAAACAAAGACGAAAAAACTGCATGGTGCACACTCTAATGCAAATAGCTATAAGCTATGTTGATATTTACTGGGTTGCCTGTGGCAGTCCAGTCATTAAATGCCTTTGGCTTTATTTTAATTTTTTTTGTCTTCTCCATCTTGCGAAAAGTACATTGTTGCACAAGAATACCCATATATGGATTTCAATGACGTGTTCATAGATTAATGGCTCATAGATTGGCTTAACAGCTGAGGATGTAATTCCGGGCTTTAGAAGTAATATAATTGAGCAGTAAAAGAAGATTTCTAGGATTGTAATGCAGATATTTATTATTATTAATACAGCTACTCAGTTGGCAGTGTTCTGGCTTCAATCGGGTGGATCAGTATAGTCTAAATGAAAATATGGCTTTCARTCTTTGGTTAATAAGACATACACATGAATATATCGTTATATTTTACGTGGTAATAGAGCTGATAACTTTGGCTAAAAAAAAAACTTTTCACTAAGTTTTGAATCCTTTATTAACCAAGTTTTATTCCACTTCACTGGTTTGGATATTTAAAAAAACTATATTTGAAGAATATAATCAATAATGGTGAGATTGAGAACTTCAGAACAGTTAGCAAAAAACAAATAACCATTTAAATATATTTCTAAACGAATTTATGTTGCTTATTTGGCCATGTACACAGTTCTTGAAATAAATATATTTAATTTGTCAGACGCTATGAGTCTTTAGGTGGTAACAAAGATAAGGTGTTAAATTAGCTCCAGCACATAAGGCAACCCAGTGCACGCTTCAAGAGCGTCTTGTTTTTCTTACAAAAGAAATTACTTTTTCTTACACAAAAACAATAAACAAAGGCTATATAATACTGGCTTTTAATTCCACGGTTGACTAGTAAGTTCATAAATTCATAGGTTTTTTGGCGATCGGGTCAAATGATTAAAGTTATTAGGGTAAGACTTCAAAAAATAATGCTTTGCAGTCAACCACATCGATCTCGTCTTACCGTTAACCCTTAAAAAGTTTAAAGTTTGGAAATAAAGTACCTCATTTTTAAGACAAAACTTTAAGACAACGGAATTACAGCATATCTTCTTACCTCAAAAGCTCTTTTCACCTAAATTTGACCAAAAAGAAAAACTTTTTTGAAGACCTTTATCCGAGCTCCATCAAACGTCAAAAGAGCAAACTCCTTAAAGCTTTTAATCTTTTCCCTTTAAAGATGCACAAAATTATCTGTATTTACTTAAACATGATGTAAAAATCACTCAAGATGTCAGTTATCTTCAAATGGGACAGAGTTCTTTGAGTTTTTGGTACTTGAATAATGAGATGAAAATGAACAAGATTCTGACAACGTTTGAAATGAGATGCAGTTGCCAAGGACGACTGGAAAATCCATACTCTAGGGGGGGCTAGTAAGGAAACTTTTTCGACCTCTCAATCAACATTGTACAAACATTCTATCAAATATATCGACTAAAATGTCAAAAATTCCTCTTACGCATATGCAAATTCTTAATTGAAAATGAGGCATTTTTTTAACATAGTCTCCCCGATTAGTAGGGTACTTGTGCCCGGCTAGAAGATAGAGACTTAAATAAAGTTATTATTATTATTATTATTATAATGCTAAAATGTTTTGTTGGTCGTGGATGATATTTTATTTATGTCAAAAAAGCAAATGTAGCTCCCCTCCCTCACTCCGTGGAACTGATAGAATATTTACTTAGCGGGGGAAGGGCAAGGGAGGGAGATTTCAATGAATGTATCCTTAAAAATTTCCAATTAATTTAAGCTTTTGGTATTTAAAGAATTTCATGTTTTTATTAAAGAAATAGTAAAATAATTAAGGTAAAATTTAATCTCAAAGCTAACAAGTTTATCAAAAGCATCCGTAAGTTTTTGCTTACCCTTCCCCTGAAGGTACATATTTGTTCCTAGGGTAGACCACGCTTCAGTCTTGTGCTCGAGTCTTTCTTTTGTGCTTCAAAGTGATCTTCTGATCATGGGATTCTTTGAGAAATTCGTCCTCCTATCAGATTTGATAGGCTTTTTTCTTGTTACTCGCTATCCTTATTTTGATTTGTTTTGCATGCTGATGAAACTAGGACGATCTACCGATAAATATGTAGGGACAAACAAGGCCTACACTCCATCAACCAGCATCTTTTCGATGGAAATGTTGAGAGAGAACTTCGATGTGTACCTCCACGGTTCAATCTATTTTGTCTGTGCTACGGGAATGACTTTGGATATAGGCAGAAGAAATTGCGGTTTAGTTTCTGCTTTTCACATAGTTTACTTGGCTATCTCAACTTGCTTTGAAAACAAGCAATATTGGTCAGAGTTCATGATGGTAAAAATTCAAGTTTTCTTTGATTGTTTCGAGATAGCTGTTGGCGTGATTCCGAAATCGTATTGTTTTTATGAGAAATATCACGGACTGTTACAGAAAATATATTAGTCCCCTGTTGTAATAAAACTTGCTATGTTGGTTCAATCTGACAGCATTTCAACTTATGACTGACACTATAGCAAGAAGATAACAGGAGATACTGCCGACAGCCGTTGTTAAATTGCTGGATTTAAATCAGCTGACAAAAGCATTTAAATGTCATTATCTGCTCCAAATAGTGGTCAAACACTATATTGTCCATTAAGCCCAGCCCATCGAACCAGTCCAAGCATCCAGTTCTCAAATGGTACGCATCAGTTCTTAAAACTGGGTTAAGGCCAATTTGATCCATTTTTAAAAGCCAACCTCGCCCTATTTCTATTGTTTAATGTCAAGTTGGAATTTCGATGGAAAATCTGTTCCAGGTTTTGAATTCAGCAATGATACTAACAGAGAGCAGGCTGAATTGAAATTCAAGCCCTTCATCAAACATTAAAAATAGGGCTGGGTTGGTTTTTAAACTAGTTAAAACACACATGCTTGCATTTGCAATTGAAATTCAAGACCAAGGGCTGTGGCCTTTGGTCTTGAATTTCATTGCAAACCCTCGCCCTAGCGTTTTAACCTTTATTTAAGGACTGACGCATACCATTCCAAAACTGGCCACTCAGACTGATTGGTGGAAAGTGCCCTTAGTTTCAACAGAGATACAATGTGTCATGTGATACAGTCCAGAAATCAAACGCACAACCTCAGAGATCCAAATGAATATACTTCTACATTACCCTTATCTCTTATATAAACTACTCTATTTTATTTCAGGTAAAAGTAGTTGCAAGAGCAGTTGCTGTTGTTGCTTGTTACTTGTTCATTGCTGGAGGCCTTACTGACAGTAGGCGTGGCTTAGCAAAGGTGTCCAACTTTCTTCAAATTGGTCGGCAACTCCTGGCACTTTATCTGTTCTACCTTGCATACATGTTGTGGATCAATAGAGAAGATCGTATTGCCTTAGTCAAGCATATTCCTGGTGGAATCATCATGTTAATAGTAGTAGTAGTCATTTATGTTGGTTGTGGTTTGTGTATTTATGGTGGATATGAGGCAGGGTATTTTGGTAAACTAGCAACTTGGCAGCTACTTATAATTACATTGTTATCAGATTTAGACACTAAGTTCTGGTATAAAGCAAATGATCGTATTGATCATTGGACACAGATACAGTTAGCTTCTAGACATTTTGCTGTTATGGGAGGGCTTATTTTGTTAGGTAGAAAGCGTCATTGGTAAGCATCATTGGAACTGTTTTTGAAGTCTGAGAATTGCTACACTATGTACTCGTACTTTATTCGAGGGATTTTCTCATGGTTCTCATCTTTTTACAAAACCTAACAAACTAAATTCCAATTAATCATCGAGTTAGCCGTACCCTGACTTTGATCAGGAGTGTTGCTCAGCCCAGAGGTTGTTTCAGGGTTTGATCTGAGTTAGCCATGCCCTGACTTTGATCAGCTCAGAGGTTGTTTCAGGTTTTGATCTGAATTAGCCATGCCCTGACTTAGATCAGCCCAGAGGTTGTTTCAGGGTTTGATCTGAGTTAGCCATGCCCTGACTTAAATCAGCCCAGAGGTTGTTTCAGGGTTTGATCTGAGTTAGCCATGCCCTGACTTAGATCAGCCCAGAGGTTGTTTCAGGGTTTGATCTGAGTTAGCCATGCCCTGACTTAGATCAGCCCAGAGGTTGTTTTAGGGTTTGATCTGAGTTAGCCATGCCCTGACTTTGATCAGCTCAGAGGTTGTTTTAGGGTAATAAGCATTTGAAGGTTTAAGTTTAAAAATGAAGAATCTATACCTAATTCATCATGTTACCCAGACAACTAGCTGTAATTGAAGCCTTTTGGATTTTGGCAAATGTAGAACAAATTTCCTATGCTCAGAGTATTTGTTTTGATTGACAGAAGTAAAAAAAGTTACAACTTTTTAGGCTATATCTATTATTTTAGGCTATATCTATTATTTTAGGCTACATCACATAATGTAAGGAATATTGCTGTAAATGATAAGTGATGTGTGTTTAGTAGAGTAGGTTTCTTGACTGTGAAACAGCTTGGCTGATACTTGGTTGGATTTCAAAGTAAAAGTGACTAGGGATGTACAGTTTCATGAACTCGGTAACATCATGGCTGTTTCAAATATATATGTTTAAGATGCTTTTGAATTTTAATGATTTACATACTTTTTTCTATCACAAAATGCTACATCATGAGAAGTATTTGTTGCTTGACATCCATGTCCATCATTAAAAACTACACCAGTCGCTTGACATAAACTTATGTCCATCGTGAAACACTACCAGGGGCAGATCCAGGAATTTGTTCAGGGAGGAGTGTTGCGCACAAAGTTAACCCAGGGAGGGGTGCACCCCTTAGAATCAAAGGGAAAAACATTATTTTGTATTGGTTATCTTCGAAGTATAGGGGCACAAAGTCAAACCAGGGAGGGGTGGGCACCCCCTGCACCCCTCCCCTGGATCCGCCACTGACTACATCAAGTGCAAATATAGCTTTTAGCTCGTTACATCAGTAGTGTGAGACTTTAACAGTCATGCAAAATCTGCTTTAAAATATGAGTGTAATGAACTTTAATCTTCAGAGATAGGAAAACCTATCATCTGAACTAGCTAAACGAGTATTCAAAATGCTCAAATCAAACAGGTTTACTATTTATGGGTAATTTGTTCAAATTAGGACATAATTACATAGACAACTAAATGTGATTGTACATGGTATTAACAACTAACAGTGAAATAATTATGAAAACCACAATATTCTAACTATATTGCACAGTAAAAACAGTATTGCAAGTAAAATCATATTTGGTTGTTTTGAATAAGTTGGGATTTAACTTTCAGTGCCATCAGTCAAGATGGTAAAGGCTAGAGTGTGTGATTTTAAAATGTTTAATGGAATCGAAAAAATGAACTAAATCCATATGTCGAATGAGTAGAATACCCTTTGTAGACAATCATTCAATCACTCTGATAATACTCTATTTTACAGTTCCATTCAGTGACCATGAATAATATTTTCAAGTCAAGGCTGGAGTTACCATGCATGTTTCCAACCTCTTCTTGGAACTAGTATTCATGGTCACTGAACTGTAAAATAGAGTATTATAATTGATCCATCAGCATTCTGCGACCACACAACCCCATATGTCACTACAAATTTCCAAAATGTTCAATGGAATACCACATCAAAGTGCAAATCAAATATTCTTAGCATTTTAAAAACAGACATGGACAACCCTGATGGCATCCCTATGCAATATTTTATTTTCTGGTGGTTGATCTCTTGGATCTGGTGCGTTGGGCAATAGAGTTGTTCTGGTTTTTAGTATTGCCTTTTGTTTTGACTGATTTATTCTTATCCTGGAAACAAGAAGAGAATTTTAGTTAGAAAAGAAAAATATATGTACTGGGATGATAGGAAAGTGGGTTTCAAGTCAACAAAAAACAAAAGGATAACTTTATTATCAGGTGTTGAATCGCGACACCTAAGAAAACAGAGGATTAAATTGCTGGGATCTAGACTTCACAAATATTGCTTGAATGAGACTGAAACAATGGTGAAGTCAAAGTAGGAGAAGTAGCATACACTAAGAGTATGGAAAGGTGCACTCTGATTTATAACCTAGTCTTGAAACCATTGTTTATTTGACATTTGAGATGGTTGTTTTTTTTTTGTTTTTTTAAAATTTCTTTAAAGAGAACGACTTTAAAACAGTCATACTATGATCAAATTGGAGAAAGGGGAAATACAGGTTTGTGGTTATGCAGTATTGCTTCATTTTTTGCTCAGTTTTGCAGTAATTTATATTTTAACCTGTGGCATTGTGGTTTTACAAGACTACGCCAGTTTGCAATCATAAATCTTAGGCTGCGGTAATTGATGAAAAAAGAGTCTACAGTGTAGAGTTTTTACTTGGATCTCTTACGCCCCTTTGTTTTGTTTTAGTTGAATTGTCTAAATGCAAAGCCAAGGCAAGTGTTCTGTCTGTCAACACCTCAGCTTGCACAGTCAGAGCCCATTATTGTGCAAGCTTTTTTTAAATGAAGCCTTTTCCAGTTAATACTTGATAAAGTATAAGCTGTTTTAGCACTAATAATAGCAACCTTAAGCTTTTCAAAATCTACAACTGCAAAGTCGACTGGAAGTGTAAATAACTTCACATTAGGGTTTTGGGCCCTCAAAGTCTGTCTTCCCTGTGGATGAGTTGACTTTTACTGACAATTTGTTTTAGAATGAATGTCGCTAATATTCGTACTTACAGGAGACTGAACATTCCATCTTCGTGGTTTTGGAAGTCTAAACAGGACAAAATTATTAAAAGAGAAATTAAAGAGTCCCTTAACTATGCGGCCTCCAAAATCGCGAAATTAGCATGTTGTTGAAACTTCATGCAATAAGGTAGTTGTAATGTGTAAGGAATCTCATAATACATAGCAAGGAGTAGACATATTTAATATCAAATCCACACCATACAACACAGGCATGGCATAAAACAGTCTTTGTACTGTTCTTTCAGTAAAAAAGCTTGACACACCAAGTGTTTCAAATTTATTAAGAACATTTCTAAGACAATAACACAAAAGTGGTAGATAAATGGAATGGGATGGATTTAGCAGACCTTAACATGATGAGAATGTGACAAGAATGCATTCTTTTTCCATGACTGTGCCTCTGTCCTAAAGGGCTGAGGTCCTCATTAGGATGTGACAAAACACAACAACAGCAATGTACCTTTGATCAGGAGAGGGTAGACAAATGACATCTTGTTGGTTTTCTTGTCCATCCTCTGCCACACCCTTCTTCAAGATCAACCCAGGTTGAGCATCTGTTATCAAAATAAAACAACAGCTCCCTCAGTTAAGCTTTCATCAATATTTGGCTTTTGACTTTTGAAAAGGAAATATTAATCTCAAATAATAGAAATACTAAAAACCTCTGACCTTTGTCCTTGGGGTAAAGCCTGATTGGAAGTGATGTAGGAATAGGCGATGGTGGAGGAATGGCACTTGTGTTGATGCAGAAGGATATCTGAGACAGGTGAGAGATGTTGCCCTCCGGTGTACTGGCCGCTCGGGTCACCTTTTTACTCCTGACTGGAGTTTTGCAAAGTTCTTTTTCTGTTTCAGAGGGCTAAAGGAAAAATGAACACAATCATGGTCAACAGTGAGTATAGACATGATAATTCAGGAAAAACTGGAGAATGGAATAAAACAGCGTCCAATGCATGGAGAGAATGGTGAAGCAGGATTTGAAAGGCAGTAATATAGTTTAAAGTGATGTAATCAAGAGTACAGTTACTGTCAGTAGTGAAGYATGAATAACAGTGTAGTGTTATGTAAAGGTGCTTTGCTTTGCAGACCTTTTTACTTTGGGTGCACCCCATAACACGACATTTTCGCAACACTTGACTTTGCGAAAAATAAGTGTCGCTAAGATATGACACGAAAATTAAATGACCACCCATAATGCATATTTATGCATATTTAAATGAATATTCGATTTAATGAAAAAAACACTAACTGTTTCTTGTTGTTGTTACATTTACTAAAAGAGTAGTACCAGATCTGAAAATGTCTAATAAGTGCGAACTATTTCTCATTGTTTTTGCTACTCTTACTTAATATGAAACCACAAAATTACTGCAATTGCCAGTCACACACGACCAACTAGACCTTCATCACAAACGAAAAATTGAATTTGGRTGGATGTCAATCAAAAGGGTTTCTATCGTTTCTATTGGTTTCTACACCAGGACTGATGTGAATACTCACGTGAACACATGCAAATGTGCAAAAATCGTTGTCCTTATCTCATGCTTCTTGTCGCTGGATGTCACAGGTTTCCGGCTCTAAATCTTAACGCTTGATTGCAAAGCTATCGCTATGGCTATGATTTGAGTTTCTTCTAGATAGGATAAGTCAATACTGATAGTTTGCAGTTAAACGTTTGAAATTCGGAGTCAGAATCCTTAGACATGTTTAAGAAACCCTTTTGATTGACGTCCACCAAAATTCAATTCTTCGTATAAGATTTTATTCTCCCTTGGTCGCGTGTGACTAGGAATCGCAGTAAAGTGTCTTAGAAGGGAGTGTTTTTTCTTCAAAATCACAAAACAAAAGTTTCGTGAAAATTTCGCGTAATAAGAGAGTTTTTCGAATTACGAATATATGTGCAACTCAAACAAGGAGACTTATTTTCAAAAAGTTGGAAACGGGAAAACATAAAAGTCCAATAAAAATCTCCCTGTCTTACTAACCTGCAGATCCTGGTTCTCATTTGCCTCTGCTATGAGAGGTGCCAGAGGAGATCGACCCTCATTGCTTTGATTCTCGGCAGCACTTGAATGTCTTGTTCGTGGGGTCTCTACCCCCTTTGCATTGAATTGCTGTCCCAGAGACTTCTTCCGCTTATCTTCAGTAAGTCTACTGGCTTGAGTCATGGCTTTGCGAGCTGAGTTCAGCAGAGCCGCAGTAGCCAGGGTATGACGACGTGCTTGAGATGGAGTTTTGGGAAGGCCTTTGGGATCTACTTGAGCATCAGAAAGAGACTTGGTCCTTGATAAACCTGAAGCTTGTAATGACAGGAAAAATACAATGAATAGGGAAAAAACAAACAAAAGAAAGATGGAAAGCAAGAAAGAGGAAGGAAGAAAGGAAGAAGGAAGGAAGGAAGGAAGGAAGGAGGGAAGGAAGGAAGGGAGGAAGGAAGGGAGGAAGGAAGGGAGGAAGGAAGGAAGTGGAAGGAAGGAAGTGAAAGGAAGAAAGAGCAACAGAAGAAAAAGTTTGCGAGTATTGTTATGTCTGGAAACTGCGCGTTTTCGAATTTTTCAAGTCTCAAAAATCCTCTCAAAATAGAGACTGGATACAAGTTCATATTCTCTTGATGGATATTAATACTGACCATTACTCGCTGTAGATAAGTCAATAGATCTCAGCTGAGGTGTCACAAAGTCTGGAGTATTGCCAGTTGGATTACGACTACGACCAGGAGACTAGCCAACAAAATAAGATAAAAGTCAATGAACACTCGTTTGTTTCTCACTATAATGCTAAATGTGCCGAACCTAATTCTCCTTTCTTCTTTTATTAAAATACGTCTTGATAGCACTACTATCAGACTCCTCTTCGAATTCTTTTTTTTTTATTCCAAGGTTTATTAAACTTGGTGTTACTAAGGTTAACTTAAGAAATTACGAAAGCATTCTGATAGTAGTGATATCCAGACGTTTATAACGCGAAAATTATTATGAATTTAGTTTGGCTAAAGATCAGTTTGGTTTAGCCTTAAGTTCACTAGAGTTCACCATTGCTATTTGAACATGGGAACATCGCATGGGAACATCGCACCGTCACGTGATAAAGACCCGTTTACACAGGCGACTTTGTGGCGAATTCCTCGGGACCTGAAAATTGCCGCTAGGTTACACGTGCGATATGAAGTCAGAGTTTAGACGAAGCAGATTTCTAGTTATTGGAATTGTGGTGAGTTTTGTTCTCAGTCATACCTGAAGAGTTTCTTGCTGCTTTCGTTTCTTTTGTTCCTCCATTTCCTTCTGCTCCTCTTCAAACTTACGCAAATCAAATTCAATTTCGTTTGCCAGTTGCTTGTCGACAGAGAGCACTTCTACAACAACAAGTAATAAAAGGTTCAGTCTCCATTTACTTTGGGAAGGAAGTGTGAGTCGCCATTTATCTTCATCTCTTGTTCACCGGGCAGTGTACACAAATTAGAGAAAAGTTACACTAAAATTACAATTAACAAAGTCCAATAAAAACCCTTCGTCCAAACAAAGTACCTTGGACTTCGTTCCGGTAATCTTTCATCACTTCTTTCAGATAAGCAAGAAGGTCCTTCAAAAGAGGAGAGCGTTGCTTCTCCAGCTACAAAGAAATGAAAGCATTTTTTAATCTTAAAACTCTCGTATTTTATACTTATTTGGAACGTTATTTGGCAAGCAAAATATTATTCTCCAAATGGTAGATAAATGAAAGAATTCTTGTCTTTGGTGAGAAGATTTGCAAAAAATAAATAAATAAATAAATCACTTTTATTTAAGTGTCTAGTCGTTCTAGCGCTTTCGCACGAATTGGGAACACTTTTCACTCAAACGTACTATCACTACATTTAATATTCTATGCACACAACGCTCAACTCACATGTTGATTTTTATGGAGGGAGGAAACCGGAGAACCCGGAGAAAACCCTCGTAGCATAGGAGAGAACAGCACATCAAACAAACTCAATTCACATGTGACGACCGCAGGGCTCGAACCAGCGACCCGACCCGTTGGACTCACAGCGGTGAAAGACGACGCGTTAGCCGCGAAAGCCACCTATGCTACCCAAAAGGTGAAGTGAAACGCAAGGAAGCGATGAAAACGTAGTCATAGTGTCTGCCGTTTGAGGGAAGGGAAAACGTGATGGTTAATCTGTCTAATAACTGATTGGTGATTGCCCTATGAAACTATGCGTATAGCGTTTGTTAGGAATCGACAATTTTACGCTCGGCCAAGACAGAATATGTCGGCATGTTTGCAATCTTGTTTGTACAGATTTATCGGGTCTTGTTTTGGTCGTCCCTTGGGCCGGGATGGAAAAGGGCTTGTACCCAGTAGCACCAGGGTGACCATGTGTACTAACCATATGTTTGAGCTCTATGATAATAGGGATGATATTCTCAATCATGTTCTTCTTCAATACCTGAAAGACATCACAAAGGTTTGTCACGTGACACCTTCGAAAACTGATGCAATAGTTTGGTGATATATACCCAGGCGTCCCCACTTTACCCCCTCACGTTTGGATGATACATAAATTCATCTTCACATTTTGGAGAAAATGTTACTAGACGTGCGTGAAAAACGACAAGAAAAACAGCGAAACGTTCATCAAAATGAATGAGTCATGAAGGGTCTTTTGACTGAAGAATGCAAGTACTCTGCATAGCGATAAGAATGTTTTTAGTTGGGTCCGAGAATGTCGTAATCAAGCACCCTCAAAGCTCAAACCTGCTGCTTTACCGCGTATGGACCCGCGTATGTGGGCGAGGGGTTGTTGGAAAGAAGCAATTCCATGTTATTGCATGACAAGAGATTTTCTTTCACTAAGAAGAAATTTTTCAATTGCTTTTGCATTAAAATGGCGGCAGTGAGACCCTGGACTTTTGTCAAGACGATCAATCGTTTAATTTTCCCAATTTAAACTAACAAACCTGCGCCTTGCAACTGACGCGGTGCATTTTGGTCTAGCCCATCTTGCCACATATACGTGGCGTGGACTGTCCGTGGCGTGCATATATTTGCATGACAATCACAAGAAGGCGTGGTATCAATGTTGATTGACACAACACAGGAAAACTAAACTAGATGTTTTATTCAACCAACATTGCAACTATGATGTCACGTGCACCCCGGGAATTGTACCTAAGCTAGACCAGAATGCCCCTCGTTTTCTAAGTGACTGTTAACCACCTGAGTAAGAAACTTAGTTCTTGCTTGAACGAGCGCAGCACCTGCTGCGTCACCTTCATCAGCCATGTCATCAGCAGCCTTGGTGCGCATCGACGACAGCTTGATTCCCTTCAAATATTTGAAAAATATCATAACACGTTCAAAGGCTAAGTTCTTTTCCTCTAAGTTTATATTTTTGTTTATGAAAGTGCATGGAATCTCTCCATTAGGTATACCCAGGACCCCAGAGAAGTGTTCGCAATAATAACATGGTGTTTGTATCAAAAGCGCCGGTCAGTATAAGAATAGCATAACTATTTTCTGAGTTCGGTAAACCAGATGCATTGTGGATTAGCTTTGGTACAAATAACACCATATAAGGCATGATGTTTGTACCGAAGCTACACCACAATGCACCATGTTCCCTATCTCAGAAAAGTCATGTCCCCGAGAAAAAAAATCTGAATCTGGGTTCAAATGCAAGTTTTCTCTGGCTTATTATTCTTTTCTCTGATATTTATTCGATGTCCAAATATTTACCTTGCTACAGAGCACTTTGAGTGCGTCTTTTACCAGAGCGCCTGACTCCTCGTCAAGAGGTATGTCTCCATCTGTGATAGCACCCAGAACCTGAATATCACCATATATTATATTATAATAGTCATTATATCATTATTAGTCATTATATCATTATTATATTATCATTAGTCATCATGTTATCATTAGTCATCATATAAGTCATTATATGATTATTATTAGTCATTATATTATCATTATATTATCATTAGTCATTATAATATCAAGTCGCAAAGGGGCTTTAAGTAATATATACAGTATGACTGGCCGTGTTGTATCAGATATATATACATTAAAAATATATCGGATACAACACGGACACGAAAACTGTATATTACTTATCAAACGTCTAGGTTAGTTCCCTTGTGTTTCACTAAAATTTTCAAAATTATAGTGAATCTGGCCAAGAAAACCCAACTTAAAGTGTATGCAAATGAACACCATTTTGTATCAGATTTACTGAACTCTTCACTGTCGTGATTTCATTTGTGTTTTCCTCATGAATTATTAATGAGTTTGACAAGACCAAGTTCAAACGTGGAACTTCACATGAGCCGAACCTAATGACATAAAAGATGACCACCTTATTATCCTTTATTTTCAATGAGATATATGGCTTATGTAAAGTTCAACGTTTAACCTTAGTATAGAAGTATCTAGAGAACAAAGAGTGGTCATGCCTCACCTCTTGGCACAGTTTACCAGTCAAGTTAAATCGGTCTTCATCACTCATGTGAGACAGCAAAAACTGGTAGATGATTGAGCGTTTACTGAAATAAGAATATAATTGTGTTAACATGAAAAACAAGTCATCCATCTGGGGTTGTAGTACATGAGGAAGGCAGGAATGGCGGTGAAATATTCATCTTTCACCATTTTCAGACTAGCTATGGGTCAGGTCACTAGTTTGTTTTCGGCGGATGCCACATGTGAATATCCGATATAGTGTAATCTCCCTCGCCATGACTAACTTTTCTCTGTCTTGTTTCTCCAGTTTTTCTCACTTTATAAAAAGAGCAACAAATGAGCTGATAATGAAAAGCTTAATAAATGTATTATATGTATAAATGTGGGGGTGTATGTGTGAGACTCGGTGAAAATGGACCGAATTGGAAACCAGTATTTTCATTGAATCCCTTCATTTGCTATGAAAAGAATGAAACGAAAATAAATTCCTACTATATATACTTTACCTGGCATTAGTGTCTCCTTTCAACGAGAAAAGTGTTTTCTCACGTTCGGTTTGAGGAAATTTGTTGAACACTAAAAGAAGAAAAACTTGATGAGATAACTTGTAACTGTTTTAGTGGAACAGATAAATGAAGATTGTCTTACCTTTATGCTTGTTGAAGGAATTGAAATGAAAGATGCACTCTACAAAATGCTGTTGAAACATGCCTGGATTCCTGGTCAGTAGAAGATGGACCAGGCAAAAGTCCGCTGAGAAGAAAATACAAGACTTTTTAGTTTAAGTCCAGTAGAAACTCTTTCAACCAGTCAGGCTCTATTTTTGACTAACAGTTCCAAAGAGGTTCTTAAACTACCAAATTTCCTTTATTAAGCCTCCGTGCTGGACCTCCTTCTAACAAGGCCCCAGTCTGAGGCGCCAAAAAGTAAATAAGTTACCAGCCTTAGTGTTAGTATTAGTATTATATGTAGTATTAGTATTATTCGTAATGTTGTTTGTTATGCTTGTGTTTGAAAGTATAATTAAAATTATGGAAAAAATAATAGTAAAGAGCCCCCGGCCTGTAATAAGCCCTTACCCCTCTTCTAACAAACCTTCATTCCAAAAGCACTGCAGTAAAAATAAACCCCCAAGTGGCAAAATAGAGGAAAATATGGTCATCTGTGTCTTAGTTTATCAAGCAGCCAACCACTCTACGTAGCGGCCAGTTATAAAAGTCCCATTCAAAGAGTTTTTTCGCACTGTCTGCAATGTGTGCCGGTTTGGGTACTATATGCGGTCACCTGGTAATTTCCTGAAGTGTGGCTGCTTAATAAATATTGTACTGTATAATCAAAGATGTGTTACCATTGCGCTTCTACTGTCCATCAGAATGAATGGTGACCATTTCTTTTATAACATATAACATAGGGAAATATCTAGCATCTCACCAAATTTTCTGATGTCCCTGTCTTCATCAACTAGAGCAGTTGTAAAATGATAAAAGAGCGAGCCTTTCCACTTGACATAATCTTCCTGCAATAAAAAAAAACTTGTATATCATCCATTCTTTGTTGTGCATCCAAATTGATCTCCTCTAAGAATTGATTGGAATATTATATGGATGGTAGTAATAGCAAAGTTATCGATCTTGTAAGTTACTAATGGTGATGTTGTTAATTATGGATGGGTGATTATGATGGTTATAGTTGAGATGGTGATGTTGTTAATTATGGATGGGTGATTATG